AACTCCACACAGATGGTATTTTTTGTCAGGTTAACTCATATCTGAGTCCCCAGCTCCTAGAACAGTGCCACACACACACACACACACACACACACACACACACACACACTGCTCAATAAATATTAGTTGAGTGAAAAAACTTACACGAGACATTGGTGGCATGGCAGATTTGCTAAAAATGTGGAGTGATGAACTGTCTACATCCTTGGAGTGTGTTCCTGGCCCAGCAGCATCGGCATCTCCTGGGGGCATGCCAGCAATGCAGGTCTCAGGCCCCACCCCAGGCCCTCTGAACCAGAATCTGCATTTAAACAAGATCTCCCAGGTGATTCATAAGCACATTAAAGTTTGGAAAGCACTGATCTGTATCACAACAATGCAAATAACTTCAACTTGGATCTTACACACATCTGATCTTAAAAGACTTTCTTATCTGCAAGAAATAGGTAACAGTGGGTCTCTGGAGAGGGGACCTGGATGCCTGGGGGATGGGGGTAGGAGGAGGAGAAAACTATTCTCTAAGAATCATTTTGTGCTTTTTGCACACAATTTTAAAGTGATTAAATTGCTTTCTGATAAGATAAATAGTACATAATAATTGGCTCCTGCTACTTCCCCATGGGACCTCTCTCCCTGGCCTCCTTATCCTGCAGGCTCTTGTCTTCCTGTTTTCTAGCCCCCATCCCAGATCTCCCTTCAGACTGATAGAAAGAATCCATCTCTGCCACTACCCACTTAAAAGGCAGTAAGGACTACAGAAGGTTTGGGTTTTAAAGAGCAAGTTCATTGCTGTTTTAGTTTAATGGAAGGGAGAATGAAACAGAAATAAAGGAAATGGAGAGCTTCACATTTCAAACAAACATGATGTAAATGACAAACGCAGTGTGGATGCTCCCCTTTCTCACAACACACTCCAGACATGCTTGTGAATGTGTATGCACACATTCACGTGTCAAAGCACCCGAAAAAGACACAAGCTTGCCCCTGCTTCCCTCTTATCTTCCTCCCCTCAGAGTGGGGGCATCAGGACCCCAGGCCTTCAGGGGAAGACACCGTTCTCTGCGGTATTCTTGTCATGAGTGTAGAAAGTCATAACTGTGCAACCTGCTCCAGTCTCATTAGTTGCTTCACCAGCTCTCCTGGCTCATGAGGTCCACCAGCTATTGGGCTGAGAGAGCCTGGCCTTAGCAGAGGTGTCTTCCTACTACCAGTGCCCAGACAGCAGCCTCCTTCCCCAGCACGGAGAGGGACTCGGCGGGACTCTTGTTGGCAGCCCCCTTCCACTAGCACCTGCTACCTTCACCTGTCTCCCCTCTTGTCCCACCACATAAATGGAAAGTTAGGAGTCTGTCCCCACAGAAGGACCAGGGACTCAGCTAGGCACGGGGGACTCCAAAAGAGAAGGAAGAGGCCTGGTGTCTCACAGGAGGCTGTGTCTGAGCCAAGGAGCCAGCCTGGCCAAGTCAGGTGGCCAAGAAAAGACCATGAATGACTCCTCCCAAGGGACAGCTGGGGCCCTGGCCCACCAGAGTCAGCCCCACCGGCCAACCTCTGCTGCCCACAGAAGGATGAAACAAGCTTCCGGCCTGCCAAGCACTCATCGGTGAGTTGCTGAGGCCCCACTGGGGGACTCCAGTCAATTTGCTGAAAATCAAATCACTGAATGCCAATTCGTCAAGTTCTCTGAATTGGTGAAGCATTTTTCGAAATTCCTGGGTTTTTGCCTCCCCTCCCACTTTCATCATAAAGAGTCACGTTTCCCTTAAATGTAATCACCTACTTTCCTTACTGGTGCAGATTTACATGTGCTCCAGCTCCAGAGGTTATCATACATCACAACTCCTTCACAAGCGGTGACAGAGGTGCTGAGGGGCAGGAGTGGAGACAGAGATAGGGCTGTGGCTGGGCAACTTAGAAAACTAGCCAGTGATGTTTTAATAGCAGTTATCCAGGCATTGGAATTCTCTCTTTCTAACAAGTGTGTTTTTCTTTCTTTCTCACACATTTGTGCATTAACATAATTGTTCACAATGATATACTTCTATGATGAGCAAAAATAATTCTGGTAGCTCCCTTTGTTCATGTAAACATAGATAAAAGCCAAACAATGCTGTAAGGGATGGTGCCATTCTCAGAGAACTATAATCACTACACAGCCCCTAAGAATTCCTCCCCTGTTGTCATTTGCTTCTATTAAATTATAATTGACCTACAATGCTATCTTAGTTTCAGGTGCACAACCCTTTATCATCTTTAACAATGTATGTCTGGTATTCCTACGTGTGCTCTGCTCTTTTCCCTTCACACACTGTGTCTGACTACCTAAAGGCTGGTAAGCTAAATGTATCCCTTCCAACATGCCTGGTGAACTCCCTCCTTGTCCCAGTTTTATTCCTTAATGACATTTCCTCCTTCTGTCACTTTTGTTGTGCCAGAAGTGTCACACTTTTGTTTGTCTATTTCCCATTATTTTCTTGAAAGACTAAGGGTGCAATGCAATAAAACAGTTGTTTTGAAACGTTTCTGAAAGCAACCAACTCTTCTTTGGAATGCAGGCTTTCCAAGACGTGAAGCAGCCCACATGGCAGCGGAACAGACCCACTTCCGGCCAGCGCCTGGGCTGCTCCACTCTCCCCAGCTCACGTCTTCCTCTGCCTGAAGGCACCTTCACACGCCTGGGCAGGGACTGGGTTTGAAAAACATGTTCTTAAGTCCTTGTTGTAAATTATTCAAACACTTGCACAAACACTGCTCTGGTGACTTGGCCCAAAAGGTGGCTGCTAGCAGTGTCACTATGCGGTGGCTCCCTGTGGCTCTCATCACCGACATGCCAAAATCTGGATGTAGCATGTACAAGATGGCAAAGGGGTGTCACCACAGAATGCCTAAAGTGTGGTTCACAAGTAGAGATCGACGAGGTGGAGGACAGTATATGAAGGAGTTTTCTCTCCAAAAGACAAATGTATCAGAACCACCCCCACTTCCCCTCCAGCCAAACAGAGCCCCAGTGTCTTACCTTCCATCTCTTTCTGCTGGAGAAGCTCGGAGGCCCAATCAAACTATCCACAAAGTAGAAGGCCTGCCTGACCCAGGACTAGAGATCAGATTTTAAATCCTCTTAGCCTCTGTCCTGAGACACTAAAATACACTACCCAGGGAATGGGTTTCTCCTAGGGTTTTGTGGCAGTAGTGGTGGCCCTTAGGGGTTTTCTTGTTTGTTTTGTTTTGAAGAGAAAGGGCTCTCTGAGGTTGTGCGGTTGCCTGAAGGGTGATGGATGGGGTGCCCCCTTGAGGTCTCTGCTGGTCAGAGCTCCCAATTTGTCTGACCTGGATCTCTCACACACAGGGCAGGGCTGGACTTCCTTGGTCCTCATACCACCTCAAGGGGGCTGGGCAGGGGCTGGGGGCTGGTGTGCCTTGGTTGGAATGCAGGCTGTAATGGAAAAGATGTGTCAAGGACTTCTGTCTAAGGAGAGCAACTCTCTGCGTGGATCCAATAGCCGTTCATTCGCTGGCTTAGCTGACATCCAGCCATGCTGCTCCGAAGCCCTGCTGGATGACTGGTCAGGATCCGTGGGTAATGCCCTGCCTCCCAGAGCCCACTGAGTCACACTGCGGATGCTAACTGCCTCCGTCCCTCCTCTTGTCTTATGAGCATCAGTAGCAAACTCATGTTAAATGTAAGGATCCAAGCCCTTCCTCCCACTGAAATGCCTCACCAGGAGGGACAGTACTGTCAGCACATCCATTTCTGGACCAAATCCTCCATCACATGGCATCTGGCACTGTACTTGGTTCCCTGCATTTAGCCCCATGCCAATCCTGCAGCTTTTTCTTCCCTATCAGACCCTCACAATCCCTCTACTGACAACCAAGGTTCTGGGCCAAGTCCAGTTATCCCCATCCTTAGCATTCCAACCTGACCTCCCCACTCCCCCTTGCATTTAGCAGAATATCCCATATTGAAACTTATTGCCACCCTCCTCTGCAGATCTCTCCCTGATTTTCATATCAAACCAACTCTGGGAACCCTACTTCAGCTAGAGCGCCTTTCCAACTAATATGTGCCAGGCACCCTGCTGCATGATTCACATGTTCTCATCGAGTCCTCTGAGGGAGGAATCTGTTTTACAGAAAGGAAACCAGGACTTAGAGAGGTTAAATAACTTGGCTAGTTAACAGCAGAACTTGAACTCAGTGCTTCAGCTAATCATAATAATAACAGTAACATCTTACCGCACAGCAAACCTAACCCTAAGTCGGAAGGGAGTGATTTCCCTTTCTCACTACCCTCCTAGCTCATAAAATTCCATCCATTTTATTATTAACAATGCTTATACAGAGGTAGGTCTGCAGGTACAGATATGTGACAGCCCTCCGTGCTTACACTCTCGCTTCTCTGGAGCCTGTGAAGTCCGTGGCACGCCCAATTGCTGATGACTGGAATGGAGAGAAAGGGATGAGGGGCTTATCTTTTACTGTACACCACTTGGTCCCAAGATAAGCTCAGCCAAGAACTGGACCAGGGCTGACTCCAATCCGCTCTGATCCAGATTTTTCCCAGAACTGGTCCAGAACACAATTAGCTTCCAGAAAAGAAAAATAACAGTATAGCGTTTGCCTCACTTTACACAAAGCAAGTAGAGGTTGGTGACACTTTGCTTTACCTCTTTGGAGCAACTTCAAACACAGCATCCACAAAATGCCAGCCATGGGGAAGCCAGTGGAAACTAAACTTGTGTCTAAATCCTATTTCAGGCTGCCCAAGTTCTTGAGACTCCAGTCATCTCAAAGTCAGTCCCAAGCCCCTCTGCGGACCTAGGGCACCAGCCACTGCTACACCAACCTGCTCCCACTCCACGGCTCCTCCAGTTCATTCCTCCAGGCTCAAAGGAAAGTCCCTGTAGCCAGAGTGGCTCTCCCTCCCTTTCTCCTCTCAGACCCTCTCCACTGGGGCCCACACAGGTCCCTGGCCACAAAGAAACCACCTTTAGCCCAAAGACTGAAAAAAATGTTTTAATAAATACAAAAATCTCCAATAATGACTCTGCTCAGCTCAGGGGCAGCAGGAGAGAAGTGGGGGGGGAGGACCCTTGGTGCTGAGTGAGGATAAATTAAAAATCCCAACGCGCCGGTGACATTATGTACAGAAAGAAAGGGGCTGGGCTTCCAAAGCAGAGGCCAGAAGGAACAGGGCATGAGTTGTAGTGTCATGGCCTTGGTCTGCCCTGACTGCCCCTTCCCGTTGTGGAGCTGTGGTTCCCAGAGGTAGTGGGGGGAGGGAGAAGAGGCAGCAGAGAGGAGCCAAAGGCACTGAGTTTCCCATAGGCGAATGCAGGGTTCCTGGGCACCCACTTCTTCCCTCAGCCCGGCCCCCTCCTCTCAGCCATGCAGGCTTTGGGCAGCTCCCTAGGAGCCTCCAGCTTCTTTCTCCAGCTCTGGGGCTGTCCTGGTCTCTGGGGCTGCTGGAGACAGAAGGGAGCAGACTTTGGAGGGGAGAGAGGGACTGGGGTGGCACAGACAGCACAGCAGAGCGTCTCTGTTCTGGTCCCAGAAAGGTCAGAATTTTCTAAGCAAGTCAGCACACACCAGCTGTGTGGCCTTAGTCTAGTTGTCTGATTCCTCGACCTTCAGAAATCTCATTTGTGAAGAAAAGTGATCAGTAACAAGTCCACAAGGCTGCTGTCAGGAGGGCTGGAATGACACTCATGCTGACAGTGCCATCCCTGGCACCCCAGGGTCCCTTCCCTCCACAGGCACCCCACAGTGAGCCTGGGACTGCTTCCCTAGGATGCCCTCACTTACACCGCCGGGGTATGCAGTGGGAGCAGCAGCGATTCTCCTTCCCTGGACCGCACGACAGCAGCAGTGAGCAGTCATCCCGCTCACAGTGGGGCACCCCTGCCTGGTGCAGGACAGAGCAGATCCTGAGGGTCTGCAGAGGCACTGGGGCACAGCAGCCTGAAGCCTCTTTGGGGAAGCCTCCCTCAGGAGCCTGCCCTCCCTGGAAGGTCTCCCTGTTCCAGGTTGGACCCCCAATGCCCACATCACACAGGCACCCACCCCAACTCACCCCACATCTGCAGGTGATACAGCTCATCTCTCCAAACGGGGGCACCGAGGGGTGCCAGCTCTGGCTTTCTGGGAACCACTGCCCTGCAAAACGGCAGCCCCGGGGCCCATCGGCCTGCATGGGGTCCCCCATTTGGGAGTCAGCTCCTGAACCCACTATTGGAGGGGAGAAAGGGTTGGAAGGGGGAAAGACGTCAGCATATGTGAGCTCTGTGAAAGCCACCCAGGTTTTGTCTTTGAATCTCCAGCCCCTAGCTGTTCCTGACACTTAGTAGATGATAAATTTGGATGGATGGTTGGATGGATGGACAGACAGATGGATGGACTGACAGACAGATGGGCAGGACCTGGAATTCATAGCCCACTAATACATGCACATCCTTTCCACTGCATTTAGAGCCCTGGCTCTAGGCTAGGCACAGAGCAGTGCTCAGTAAATGCTGAGCCAGCTGAGGAGTCCCTCCCATCCACCCTCACCATGCATCCCCTCACCCAGGACCAGGCAGGGAAGGGCCTTATCTGCCCCAAGAGGCCTCAGCCCTACCCCTCACCTGGACACTGTTTGCAGCAATCAGTGGGGCTGGCGCGGACAGGCTGGGCGCAGGCCAGCCGGGGACACTGCACCTTCTCACAGTGCACCTCTCCAGTGCCCCCCTGCAGGATCCATTGAGTGAGGGGTGTCAGGAGGGAGGGAGGCACATAGCCTCCTGCTTCCTCTTTCTCCTTTCCCACACCTCAAATATCATATAACCATGGCCTTTTTCTTAGAGACCCTGGGCTGGTGCTTTATATGTCTGAACTCAGATTCTCATTGTAACCCTGCAAGGTAGGTGCTATAATATCTGCTTATAGGAAAAGAAAATAAGGCCCAGGGAGGTACAGAAAGTGCCCAGGATTACATGGAGCCAGAATTCACACCCAGGTCAGCCCTTGCCCTTTTCCTGTAGAAAACCAGCTCTCAAAGCCCAAATGACTTTTCTCATATTATTTTGATCCATGAGCCCTCCTCACCAAGGCGGGGCTTTCCTCTCCCAGCAGCCCACCTCTCCATCTCTGCAGGCTTGGCTGGGTTATAGCACTAGAGAAGATTGGGCAGCCCCCCCCCATACCTTGCAGGTGCAGACAGCACACTTAATTAAGCCAAATGGGGGAACGACAGGGTGCCACTGGGTACCCGCTGCCCGCCAGCTCCGGTCACCATCAAAATAGCAGCCTGGTGGGGGACAGTGCCCAGTTGCCATTAGTACTGAGCTCATTAGCTGGGCCCACAACCAAGGCTGGAGCCTCAAGCCAGTCCCACACTAGTCTAACCCCAGGGCCCATTCATGGGCCATAAATCTAATGAAGCCTATCAGGTGTCCCTTAGAGCCTGTGCCCCCCAGCCTCCCCCAACCCCTCATGTACACTCTCACCCTCCTGCCCCTTCCTGGTCCCAGGCAGCAGCTCTTCTGGATTCCCCACCCCTGAAACATACTTCCAGCTCACCCTCTCCAGGGTCCCTGCTTCTTGGCATCCCGGGCAGGCCTCTGACATCTTGTTTCTCTGTGGAGCCAAAGAAATAGTGAAGGCAGAGGGTGACCACCAACCCCCTCCTTCCTCCCCTAGAGGCCTCATCTCCCATCCGTGGACCCTCCATTACCCTCTCCATTCCTGCAGGGCACTCACCTGGGCACACAGGGCAGCACTGGTCTGGTGCCTGCACCGGGCTCAAGCAGCTGGATGGCGGGCACACCACAGGGTCACAAATCACAGTGCGTCTCTGCAGGGAGAGGCTGGGGATTGACTGGGACCCTTGTCCCAGAAACCAGGCCCCGGTGCACCCTTCCAGTATGCCTACCTGGCAGGTGCAGAGCGAGCAGAGTGGGTCATAGTTGGGTGCCCAGCGAGCCCCATGGGGGCGCTGCTGCCCCTCGAAGAAGCAGGTGTTGGAGTCTAGGGGCCGCCCAGAGCCGGATTTGGCTAGCGCAGGGGAGTCTGGGCCAAGCACAGCGGGCAGCCTGGGCAGCACGGCCACTGCATCTGGAGCCCCAGGTGCCCGCATCCCTTCTGCCCCTGTCCCAGCCAGGCGCAGGCCGCCCACCTCGCATTGGTTGGCAATGTGCACCTGGGATGAGAGTCAGGTTGAGGCAGTGACCCAGCTCCCCCTCCTGTCTTTACCAACAGCAGCCAGCCAGAAGAGACAGCCAGTTCCCTGAGCGCTCCTGTGCCCCAGAAGGGAAGCTATTAGCCACAGTGATCACCCCAGCTGTCAAGGACAAGGTGGGCTACTATCACCTACTTATGTACCTTGCCTGGCTTCATCCTCCAACCAGCCAGAAAGTGCGATACCACTATCCCACTCAGAGAGAGCAAGTGAGTAAGGCAAGAGCACACAGTGCCAGCCCAACCCTGAGCCCCCACCAGAGGCACACAACGCCTGCCTACCTGCCCTCGCAGCTCCCCTCGGGGGCTGCCCTTGGTGGTGATCAGCAGAGAGGCAGTGCCCTGCGCCAGGTGCCGCAGGAGCTCAGGCTCCAGGTCCTTCACCACACCCTGGGCCTGTGAGTAGACATGATGTGGAACAGGAGCAAGGCACTCTAGACTGAGCCTTCCATTCCCAATTTGCAGATGAAGAAACTGAGACCCAGGGAGGTTTAATAAGGTCCCCAGGATATCGAAGTTCATTAGTGATGGTGTGGAGATAGAAACCAGGTCTCTCTGACTCCAAGTCCGTGGGAACCCACCCTACTTCAGGGTGCTTGGTCCATCCCAACTACCCCTCTGGAGGTCCAGGATATTACATACTATCCATGGAATCCCCCCAGAGAGGGACACAGGAAAGAGACTGAATAATAAAAGGCTGAGTCAGATTCATACTCAGATCTAACTTCTGAGCCCATGCTAGCTCTGCCATAGCAGGCTGCCTGCTCTTTGCTTCCCCCACCACAGGTCCACATAGCCCTTCATGCTAAAACACAGGTCTTTTCCAAGCCTCCCCCACCATCACATCCTCACCTCTGGGCCATAGAATCCCTTCAGCAACCGCCGGGGACCTGGCATCCCAGGGGGCCCAAGGAGGTGAGCAGTGACGGTGCCCTGTTCTGAGCCACCTAGCCCAGCCAGCTGCACTTCATAATGCAGGTGACAGTGGGTATCCAGAGAGAGCCAGGCATGCCCTGCTGCCTGGCTCTGCACAGGGGGCAACACCAGGGCTCCTGCCAGGGGCACAGGTAGTGCTGGATCTAGGCAGAGAGGAGACATGAGAAAGCAGCCTAGAGCAGCCACTAAATCCTGGCATTCCCATCTCCCCCAGCACCAACTCTGGGAGCTAGCAGACACTGTCCACAGGCCCAGGGCTGAGGGAGCAGCAAGTTTGAAACCCCTGCACCATGGCAACAGGGAGCGTCCCTCGACAGGGCCACCCTATATATGAGGCAGGGTGGGGCCCTGGCACCCTGAACAACCACTACTGACAGGCATGGAGAAGTGCCAGGGAGGGGCCAGGGTGGGCAGGGGAGGGGTCCTAGGGGATGGGGTTATTAATGGCCATGGAGGAAGCCTGCTTCCTCCTTCTCCAGAAGCCAACCTAGAGCTCAGGAACAGAGAAAGACACCCCAGGCTCTGGCCCTCTGGCACACAGTCCCTCACATGCCCAAGTCACAGCTTAGAGGACACCAAAGGGCAGGCAGACCCCTGGGGCACTCACAATCATGGCGGGCACTGTGCCCGCTGTAGGGCAGGGCGGCCACGTGCCCCCGCAGCTCTCCATCAGGGAAGTCCTTCGTGCCCACATTCAGGAACAGCTCATTCTGCAGCAGCATATGAGCCCCTCGGGCACCCAGTCCAGGGCAGACACCCACGGCCTGGGGGGCAGGGAATGGTGAGCCCTAGCTGCCGCCTGCCAGGTCCCAGATAAACTCCTCCTCAGCTTTCACACAAGCCAAGATTCTGAAGCCTTTCTCTGTTTTGTGCCCCATTACACCCATACACACTCCCACACACCAGTCACACTGGATAACAACCTTGCAGGCCCAGGTTCAAGTCCCTTCTCTGCCACTGCCTACCTATGTAACAATCTTGAGGAGTTATTTAACCTCTTTAATCCCTTCACTTTGTCATCTATAAAATAGGTAGTATGAAAGCAAAAAAATATATAAGTAAGGCACCCAGTGCAGTATGTGGCACATAGAAAGGCTAAGTGGCAGCCATTGCTATCACATCAATTATTATATGATCTACTGCGCTGCTCTCCCTAACTCCTCCCATTTGACATGAGCTTGCTGAGGACAGAGACCACATCTGATTTTCTTTATTCTCCAGTTCCTAGCCTGAGTCTCACTAAAAATGTGTCAGTGAATCAATGTGTCAATGAGAGCTGAGCATCCCCGCTCATCCAACCTGGCTTCTCACAGTACCCGCCCTGTCAGCTCTGCGGCCAGGGCCCAGCTTCGCTGGAAGCACTTACCATGTGTCCTCCCAGCTGGAGTCCAGCCATATGGCACAGGACTGTACGCTGGTTCTTCCGCTGAGGCTTGGTCTCCAGCGTCATGGCTACCACCTCACTGCCTGTACCTACCACTTGCACCTGGTGGGCAGGTTGGAGAGGGCAAAACTGGAGTGGCGAAGAAGGTCTAGGGCCTGAAGCATTGCAGGCCAAAGCCACACCCTGCCCTGCTGTTTTCCCACCTCCTGCAGTTCCTGACCTTACCTGGTAGATCAGGGAGCCATTTCCTAGCAGTGTAAGGCTGGCTGAACCTGCTGCACCTGTCTGAACTGGCATCAGGGCATCAGCCCCACAAAGGACACTTTGCAGGACTGCAGAGGGGCAAGACAGGTTAAAGCAGGCTTCCTCCATGGCCATTAATAACCCCAGCCCCCAGGACCCCTCCCCTACCCACTCTGGTCCCTCCCTGGCACTTGTCCATGCCTCTCAGTAGTGGGTGCTCAGGGTGCCAGGGCCCACCCTGCCTTACCATCGCAGCTCTGCCTGGCAGTAATGTGTCCACTGATGCGCAGCCCTGGCCCACCTGCCCTCTCCAGGGCCATCTGCAGCTCCCCCAGCACAAGCCAGTCCATTTCCTGGGCTGTCAGGTTAGGCAACACCTCAGCGAAGCCTGGTTCCTGAGGACAGAGCAGGGTGTGGTGAGCTCAGCATGAGGCCAGAGCAGGTGGCAGAAAAGGCCAGACCCTCAACTACCTGGGCTGAGGTGTTGGCCTGGAGCTCTCGCAATAGCTGCCCCTGGTGTAGAATCTGTAGCTGCAAGGGAACCTGAACTGGTCCTGCAAAAGACAAGGATAGATACCTCTGAGAGATAGATGCTATCCCCACCTTCCTCACACACTCTTCCCCCATCCCACTTACCCCCACTCCTAGATTCCATCAGCCCGCGGAAGAGCAGCAAAAAGTGCAAGGAGTCCTCTGTGTCACTGAGAGTGAGCAGGGTGATGCCCCCTGCACCCTGCTGTGGGTGGCCTTCCAGGGTCAGGATGGCACTGAAGGTCTCTAGTGGAGGAAGGACCATGAGAGCCCATCAGGATGTTCCTTGCTCAGCGCACTCTATTCCTGAGCAGGCTCAGAGCTTCACATCCAGGGGCCATCTGCTCTCCTCACCTGCAGCCAGGGCCCGGTGCCGGAGGAGAGGCCCCCAGACTTCCCCAGAAGGGTGAGTGGGTGTCATCAGTGCCACATGCAGCTGTTCTGCCCTAAGGAGCCTCAAAGACAACCGAGGGACTGCCCGCCACACCCCACAGACCTGGAGAGAGAGACAAGAAGGCCTGCTCAAACAGTATTCAAGACAGGCCAGCTGAAGCCAACTCACAGACTCCAAGAAGGGACTAGCAGTTACCAAAGGAAGGGGTTTGGGAGGGAGGATGGAGAGGCAGGGAGAAGGGGATTAAGGGGCATTAGAATTAGCACACACAATATAGGTAGGTCACAGGGAAGGCAGTACAGCACAGAGAAGACAAGTAGTGACTCTGTAGCATCTTACTATACTGATGGACAGTGACTGCAATGGGGTGGGAGAGACAATAATATGGGTGAATATTGAAATCACAATGTTGCTCATGTGACACCTTCATAAGATTGTATATCAATGATACCTTAATTTAAACAAACAAAGACAGGCCAGCTGAGGCCCAGCATTGGTGAGGAAGAAATAGAGGAAAGGCCCTTCTAAAAAGCTTGAAAAGGGGCCTGGAGCCAGATGCTAGGGTTCAAATCCTGGCTCACTCACTTATTAGCTGTGTGACCTTGAGCAAATCACATTCTGCTACTGAGCCTCATCTGTAAAATGGGCACCATAATGTGGTGCCTTCTTCTCCCTGGGCTGCTGAGAGGACCAAAGGAGGCAATGAAGAGCATGCTTTCAGCACCCAGTGCCCAGACTGGATAAACACTCAAAAATGGCATCAGCTCACCAGGCCATCTTGGGTGAGGGCTGCAGGGTGTTCAAACAGGACACTGCCAGTGGAATCTGAGAAGCGGATTCGGGTAGGGCGGTCCAGCCTGGAAATGAGGTTTCCACTAGAACCACTCTGAGCCTGGGCCAGAAGCAGCCCCTCCAGCCTCTCCTAATTCTCCCTCCCCACTGCCAGGGGAGTCCTTCTCCCGCCTTCCCCTTTCTCACCGCTGGTAGGAGATGGAGAAACGCAGGCTAGAACGTAGCAGCGACACTCGCGCCCGAGCTACGGCCTGCGACCTCGGCCCTGTCAGCAGCGCCACGAAGTCTGCGAGGGGAGGAAGATGCCCCCTAGTGCCGTCACCCGCTGCGGTGGCCCGGACCCAAAGACGACCCCAGTCTCCGACCGGCTCCTGCTTACCTGTGTGGCCGTCCCCACGTGCCCGATCTTCAGCGCCTGGCTCCCCACGGTCGCTGTAGCTGCGGTGCTCCGGGTCCCGCGGGTACTCGAAGGCCGGGCCGGTCGGCTGCCTCTCGGGACCGCTGCGCTCTATGCGGGAGATAGGGGACACGGGCGTCAGCTGAGTACAGGGAGGGCCAGTTGGCTGCTCCATCGGCCCCATCCGGCTCAGGACTAAATATCGCCGCCTGCCGCCCTCCCGTCACTACGGAGCGGGCCTTACCCTGGGGGCAGGTCTGGCAGCAGTGCCCTGGCAGCTGGCGCGGCTGCCCACAGGCCAGGGTTGGGCAGTTGGGTTTGATGTTCTTGCAGCTGACCCTGCCAGGGCCCCTAGCGCGGCGACCCCACTGAGGCTGCTCGCAGAGAAGACGGGAAAACCAAGTGAGTACAAGACGTCAATCAGTAAGACCCAAGGGCCAGCAGGGCAGAGTCACCGGACCTGGGCCAAGTTGTTCCACGCACCGAGTCAGACCGCTCTGCTACTTACAAGCTGCATGACCCTAGGCAAGTTACTTAACTTCTCTGGGTCCTAGGGTCCCTATCTGGAAAATTGGGATAATAATAGTATCTAGCTAGGAGGGTTGTTTAAGTGAGAGACGACAAAGAGCCTGACACATAGTTGGCGATCAATAATAGTCAACACCTGAGATTTAAAGGGGGTCCTTCCTCAGCCCTTCCTCTGCCAAAAAATATTCCCAGTATCTGCAGACTCGCGTCTTTTTCTTCAGCAGCTCCGAGTCCACTCCGACGTCCGCCCCAGGACCCCAGCGCTCCGCCACCCGCGAGGGCCAGGGCCACGGCGGTTGGGCCCACTCACTGCCTCGCAGGCGCACAGCACGCAGCGCATCACCCCAAAGGGCTCCCCCAGGTCCGGGTGCCACGTCTCGTCCAAGGCATAGACCTTCCCGCCGAAGGAGCAGCCTGCAGGGATGGGCTTGGCTAGCGGCCGCTGTCCGGCTCCTGCGGTGTGCCCGCCCCGGGTGCCTGGGCAAGACGCGCTTTGCGGCCCCCTCCCACTCCTCCAGGCCGCCCGCCACGCTGAGCCACCTGCGCCCGGCGTCCCCTCCGGGCCGGTGCGGGCTTCTCTCCGGGTCGGGCTGCCCGCTGGCGCCTCTCCCCGGGGCGCCCACCTACCTGTCGCCCCCCGAATGGGCAGCGGCTCCTTCTCCGGCCGGATGGGCAACGCAAGGGGCTCGGGGCCGGCGCCGAGAGCCGGCCGAGAGCCGAGCAACAGCAGCCCAAGGAGCAACAGCGGGGCCGGCGGGGCCGGGAGGCTCGGCATGACGCGAACGGGACAGCTGGGGAGGCGGGAGGGAGGAGGGAGCAGGAGAGGGAGGAGGGAGGTGGGAGGAGGGCCGGGCCGGGGGCGGTACGGCGGGAGGGGGCCGGGGCCAGGGCCCGGGCAGTGCTGCGAGGGGCTCGTCGGGCAGCCTGAGTCGCTGCCGAGCCGGGCGGGGCGGGAGGAGCGGCCGGGAGGAGCGCGGGCGGACGGGCGCTGACCCGGGCCGTACGCGGCTCTAGTGCCCCGGCGCCGGCTCTGGCCCGTTTTATGCCCGGCGCCCGGCGCCCCGGCCGGGGGCCTCCTCCTCAGCAAACGGGGAGGCGGCGGCGGCTCGGCGAGGGGCCGGGCTGAGCCCGGGGGGTCCGGCCCAGCAGCAGCGGCCCGGATCACGAGTGGGGGAGGGGAGGGAGGGGCTGGGACCGGGCAGGGGAGGAGGGAGGGGCTGCAGGGGAAAGGGGAGCGGAGGAGGTAGGGGGAGGGGAGGGACCAGGGGGCGCGAGGAGGGGAGGAGTGGCGGGTCTGGAGCCCCCCGCTGCCGGCCGGCGGCCACAAGGCCGCTGGACCGGGAGGTGCTTGTCCAGCCCAGGACGAGAGCCCCAGGCCAGGGAGGGGCAGAGGCTGGGCCTGAGGCCTGAGCCGGCCACTGGGCTAGGGCTCGGTTCCTACCGGAAGGATGAAGACTTGCCTCAAGGATGACAACGGGCAGGAAAGGCCCATCAACTGATCTCCCCTGACTCTGGATCACAGCACCTCTCAAACCCCATCCCACCCACACTCACTGCCTAGCCTGTGTCCCTAGTTCTTCTCTGAGATCTCTACTTACGCTCCTGTTCTCATCAACAAGGACTTAGCCAGAAACGGGCAGTGGCTCCTTTGGAGCTGGTAACAGTTTCCCTCCCTGCTGTAACCTGTTCTCAGGCCCATCCAACCATCAGCATCCCCAACCTGACATGCATTCTCACCCTCTTCCTTCACCCAGGGGACCCGCTGCCTCTCCACCCCACCCCAGCCTCCTTTGTCTTGGTTTCCTTGTCATGACTGCCTCCCTCTCCCCTCCCACCCCCACACACCCACCATCTTCCCAACATCCCAGCACCCTCCTTCCTAATCTTGGGAGGCATCTCCTCTGGCTGAACTGGAGAATTCCGGGATCTAGGCCATACTCCTTAGCCGACAGCCCCATCCTTGGGAGGAGGAGCAGGAGAGAGCCTGAGGAAGAACTGGGGTGGAGGGGAGTGATGGAAACAATGTCAGGCCAGAAGGCCCCTGAGGACAGAGACTGTGGGGAGACTGGGATTGAGGGGAGAGTAAAGGAACCAGAGCCGGGGCCAAAGGAAGAGGGGGGCCAGCGAGAGGTATTTGCGGGGGAGGTTCAGCAGCTGTCTTTCCCAAGATAGGGACACATGGGCCTGGTTATTCCTCTTGTCATATGTGGAGTGGTAGGAGATGGAAGAGGGAGCAAGACAGGGCAAGCAAAGGCAGGTATGGGTACAGAAATTAGCAGGCTTAGCTGTCTGAGCCACTGGGCCCCAGCAGTGGGGCATCTGAGCACAGTGTAACCCAGCACACACCTCCTCACCTCACAGTCCTCCCAAACTGTCCAAACCTTTACCACTGACCCAATGACAGGATCATTCTCTAGAAGAGCAACACCCACATTACCATTAGGAAAGGGAGGATCAAACACAACCCCCAGGGAATTATAGGAGAGCAAAAGTCCTACTAAATTTTAGCAGGTGCAGTGTCCAGGGAAAAGAAATTAAGCAAGCCAGGAACTGAAAAACCCACTAATCTAAAACCAGACCTCTGTGCCTCTCCCCGAGGGACAAAAATGTCCTGCCAGATTCCTCCTGGAAAAACCTATCCCCCCAACTGCTGTCCTCCCCAGCCAGGTCCCAGGTTTCCCATCTCCTAGGAACAGATGGATCTCCCTATTCAGATCCTCCCTGTGGTGTATGTGGGTGGAGGAGCTGGGCTCCACTCATGGACCATGGTCCAGGCAGGGGCTCCAGGTCCAATGTGGGGGGGAGGAGAAGGCGTCACTTCCGGGGGCCCTTGCCAATGTCTGATGGTTCCCTGCTCTCTGATTGGATAGAAGTGGCCAGGGCAGGCGTGTGACCCCACTGCTGTGGAGGAGCTATGCCCCAACGCCACATGTCTTCCTACCCATCTGCTCCCCAGAGTGCTACCCGCTCTGCACCTGGGTCTAGGAACCCTTCTCTACCTGGTAAGTGGCAAGCAGGGTTTGGAGCTCAGTGAGGGTAGGAAGGACAGGAAAGAGGAATTGAGCTCTCAGCTGGGGGAGGGGCAGGCAAACTGGAACCTACAGGCACTGACCTTTGTCGAGAAGATTGTAGCCTTCCCAGAATGGGAGGAGCAGGACAGAGCAGGGATAGGGGGTGGGGTGCTGGGTTCTAAGGGACTGATCACAGACTTGGTAGAATATAGCACAGTCCTGGCTGGCCCTAAGGAAAGGGTACATGGGTCTAGAAAGGAAATAAGAGAGGAGGTGCATTTAGGGCTTCAGGAGCATAACACCAAGCTGAACATAGCCCAATCCCCATTCTAACCAGTCATTTCTAGTTAGCTTAAGATTCTGAATCTTGGGGCTGGGGAAGCTGGGTCAGGCAAGCCAGGGCCCAAAGGAGAGGGTAATGGGAGGAGGCTCATGCATGTTGACAGACCTACAGGAAATCCCAATATTGAATCAGGTGCAGGCCTCTTTGCACAACTTGTGAAAGAAGGAGGAAGCCATGTGGGGGGTCCTGTGAAGGTACCGGAATGGGTCTACAGAGGGGGCAGGGAGGAAGGTGCGGGCTATGAGACAAACATGGTGTCTAGGTGATGTAAGCCATGTAAGACAGGCGCCTCTCTCAAAAGTGGCCATTCTTGGGAAACTTGCCTTCAGCCCATCTCTTCACCTTGGACAAATAACCCAGTATTTCAGAACTTGGAGTGCAAAGAAAAACTCTAAGAGCTTTATATGTGGGGGCAAATGAAAGAACAAGAGGTTAATTTCTCCCACACCACCCTCTGTTAATCTCTCCATCACTGACCTCTAGTAGTTCAGTTTTCTTTTTGCCCAGTTCTCCCCCTCACCCCACTCCCCAATCTACTCCTTAACACATTGCACATGTTTGCTAGTTCCTCATCCTGACTCCATATGCCGTTTTCCAATCTCTTCTCCAGGCTTGTGGCACAATACTTCCATTCTCTATCCCCACCCCAGCTTCTCTCCAAACAGCTGAAGTTGCTCAAAAATTGGGGCCAATTAAGATGTGTGTGTGTGTACATATCCTATCCTGCTGCTCTCTCCGCAGGAGGCAGGAACGCAGAGACCCATTTCAGATTCACTGAGGAACCCTGACAAAGAGGAGACACCATGTGCTACAATCACAAGAAAACATGACAACAGTCAGAGCTTTAGCAATTCTAGGCTGGTCAGCATTGCAAGCCCTCCCAGCATCTGTTCCCCCAGCCAGGCAGCCTTTTCCTCGAAACTTGATTAAATGTTCATTATTCCTGTCATTTGCAGGATAGAACCCAGACCTTCTTCCTTGGCCCACCTGTGCCCCACCCAACTCTGCCCAGAAGTGCAAGAGCCTAAGCCGCCTCCATGGCCCCCGGAAGGATTCAGGGGAGAGGCCCCATACAGGGAGCCACTCCAAGCAGACAGCCCGGCCAGAATGGAGCGGACTGGTAAGAATGTACCTGAGGGACCTGGGGCCAAACCAGACCATGGTAGAAGGCAAGAGAAAGAAAATGTGCTTCAGGCAGGGAGGGCTGAGGAATCTCCCAGGAAGAAGGCATCTGAGCCACAGAGTACCTGATTTCAGGAATGGGTCCTAAATGGGAATTCTTGGACCTCCAACCAACAATGATTTCTTCCTTATCCACCCCTTTCACCCTCACCTCTCCTCATCTAAGAACTGCTCCTCGTGGTCATACTTCTCCTAACTTCAAGACTAACTCCATCTAGCCCGGCTCCTCCTGCCTGTGACCCCCGACTCCTAAATAAACTGCTTCGTGACTCACACGTCCTTCACAGCAGACTGGTGAGAATCCCCAAGCACTCTTCCTTCTGTCTAACTGGTAAGATACCCTCCCTCCCATCACTTTCTCTATCTGTGATCCAATCACTATTCTTCCAATATTGTCTTTGGTAAGACCACCACCTCCCCATCACCACTCCTTGACAAGGGTTATGATTTGCAATCAAATCCCCTTTTAAAAGCTCTAGTCTGCATATAGTACTCACAGAAACCTCTCCTGGTCATTGGGACACCGTACCCCTCTGTGTTTCAGCTCCTTTCTCCCCCACTCTCTTACCACCCAATCTTTTTCAACAGAGCCAGTGCCCAGACGTTAAGCCTTTGTCTACACCTGTCCTGCTGCCTGCTGTGGACTTCAGCTTAGGAGAATGGAAATCCCAGACAGTAAGAAAGCCATCCCTTCCATTCCCTTGCTTTCCCTAAGTCCTGTTTCCTACTGCTTTGTGTGGATTCTTAAAAATCCAGACCTCTCTAAAAATATCTCACCTTGAGCTTGGCCACCCTAACCTAATCCACATTCTACTATGACGATAGCCTCTGGATAAGATGATGGCTTACAGTCCGAGTATGCAAATAGATTCGAAGCTGAATACCATGAAAAGCTGGATAGAAGTCTATCATGGTCATGCCTTTGACCTATGCCATTCAACCTTAAGTTGGCATGAAGGGGTAAGATTGATGATCTATCATCCTCACATGACACAGAACTGGGAGACACAGCTAAAACAACAAAAAACAGAATCAAGATTAAAACTGATGAAACACTAAGTCAAAAACAAGGTGAAATTTATATATATAATTCTACGTGTGTAAAATAACTGGTTGAAGTCCTATTCCAGCTTTCAGGTCACATCGCCCCTGCTTCCCTCATATAAACTTCTAGCCCTAGAGCCTATGAAAAAGATCTGGGAGGACTGAGTTGGCTCCTCCGAACTTAGGTTGTAACATTATTGAAGCTGCTATTTAAAAGCTAGTGATTCTAGGCAGTTTTAGATATGAGGCATCCACACTGTGGAAATATTCCTATGAAACTCCATTCTGAGTGGACTGCACTTAACAGTATTGGACTAAGTACTGGACATACTCCTCTAGACACATGCTAATTTATTCAGGGGGGACCATATTAAATTAGCATATGTTCAGGAGGAAGCAACCTGAACAGTGAGAGGTTAGAAAACATGATATGTGAGGAATGGTTAAAAAAAAAAAAAAAGCCCATGTGATTAGCTTGGAGAAAAGAGGTAGTCTTGTGGTATAGCACGAAGGGCTTTAGTCTGAAACTCAGGAAACCTACTGGGTGGGAGCATTCCTTGCAAGTCAGCTCTTCTACCCTCCAAATCCCTAGCATCCCCTTTCTTCCCTTGGGTCTTCTGGGATGACTGGGCCAGGACAGAGGGCAGTTCCTAGGGATCCCTCACAGCTCCTCATAGTTCTACTATTTATCAGTAAACCCCTTCACTTCATCTTTACAAACTTTATCATGGTCTCATCTCTACATTAAGTTTTTTAAAAATCATATGATTCTAGGATTTTGTGGCAGAAAGAGTAAATTTGCTGCACTAGAACAAAGGGATAAGAGCTGTCAGAGGGCATATTTCAGCATAATATAAGAGAAAAAGAGAACTTTTCTCACTGAAATTAAGTGTTAAGGCCAGGCTGGGTTACTGGACACTAGAGTTATTCCAGCAGAGGATGATGACCAATTGTTGGGAGACTGTGAAGGAATTCCTATGCTGGGTGAGGCTTTGGTCCTGTCCAATTCTCAGCTCCTATGATTCATTCTGCTGGCTACTCCTACAGGCTCTCCACCCGCTATTAGCAGGCCCTTTGAAGCAATCAGCTTCTCTCCTCCATCTCTTTCCCAGGAGCAGTCCAAGGCCCAGGACGTTCTAGGAGCAGCGACCCTTCTGCTGGAGGGTGTGATGGCAGCACGGGGACAAGTAGGACCCACTTGCCTCACATCCCTACTGGGACAGCTTTCTGGACAGATCCGCCTCCTCCTTGGAGCCCTGCAGGGCCTCCTTGGAATCCAGGTAGGTCCTCAGTCAAGAGAACTATAGAAATTGTCCTTTTCTGACTCAGTCCCCTTAGAAGACCTGAGGGGAGAAAGAATTCTAGGAATCTTGAGGGTAGAAGAGGTGACCTACCAAGGAGTATTCCCTCCCAACCATAAAGCCTGGGTGCTGATACTTTATCTTTCCCAAGTAGACAAGGGAGGCAGGATATCTGGCCCGGGTCTCTGGCCTCAGGCCCATCCTCTGCCCTCAGCTTCCTCCACAGGGCAGGACCACAGCTCACAAGGATCCCAATGCCATCTTCCTGAGCTTCCAACAGTTGCTCCGAGGAAAGGTGCGTTTCCTGCTGCTTGTGGTGGGGCCCACTCTCTGTGCCAAGCGGGCCCTCCCCACCACAGCTGGCCCAAGCAGTGCCTCTCTATTCCTCACACTACACAAGCTCCCAAACAGGACTTCTGGATTGTTGGAGACAGACACCAGTGTCCCAGCCAGAACTACTGGCTCTGGGCTTCTGAAGAGGCTGCAGAGATTCAGAGCCAAAATTCCTGGTCTGCTGAGCCAAACTGCCAGGTCCCTAGACCAAATCCCTGGACACCTGAACAGGACACATGGACCCTTGAATGGAACTCATGGACTCTTTCCTGGACCTTCACCCAGGGTCCTAGAAGCCCTGGACATTCCTCCAGGAACTTCAGACATGGGCTCCCTGCCACCCTACCTCCAGCCTGGATATTCTCCTTCCCCAAGCCATCCTCCTACTGGACAATACTCACTCTTCTCTTCTTTACCCACCTTGCCCACCCCCATGGTCCAGCTCCAACCCCAAGTTCCTGACCCCTCTGCTATCACACCCAGCTCCACCAGTCCTCTTCTAATTGCAGCCCACCCTCACTTCCAGAATCTTTCTCAGGAAGAGTAAGGCACTGCCAACATCAGGACTGTCTCCTATGTAAAATTCCCTTGCCCAAAGGAGAAGCCCTGGAAGACAACTGCAGCTGTACCAGATTTCCTGGTTTCACCTGAAACCCAGAGCCCTGGTAAAGAGGGACACCCAGGAAGAGAAAGGGATTGTTTTTCACTGTATATTATAAAACTTCAGAAGCTATTTTTTTAAGCTATCAATAACATTCACCAGAGTAGCTAATTATCTTTGGTCTATTTTCTGCACAAATTACTTGCTACAAAATACAACTTACTGATTTTCTATATGCTCTTATTCATATTCGTACAATAATTCTGCAAAGACCTAGACTGGCCTGGCCTCTAAACAGAGGCAAAGACTAACTTATGTCAGAAAACAGAAAAAAGAGCTTTGGTTTTCTGCCTAAAACCGAGGTTAGTGTCTTTACCCCCTTTGCCGTCATTCTCAATGGCACTCTGATCTTGTTTTCTTAGGAGACGCTTACTCTTGAGAAATGAGTGAAAAGTTGTCTCTCAGAAAGGCTATCACTACAGAACAGATAACACTGAGCCCATATAAATAAAGAATAAATGAGAGCACCCAAAAGCTACTGAAATGCAAGGTAAAGATATTCTTCTCAGGGGGCAATAGATCTCCCCCTCCCCTATCCCCACCTCCCATAACTTACTGATTTTCTATATGCTCTTATTCATATTCGTACAATAATTCTGCAAAGACCTAGACTGGCCTGGCCTCTAAACAGAGGCAAAGACTAACTTATGTCAGAAAACAGAAAAAAGAGCTTTGGTTTTCTGCCTAAAACCGAGGTTAGTGTCTTTACCCCCTTTGCCGTCATTCTCAATGGCACTCTGATCTTGTTTTCTTAGGAGACGCTTACTCTTGAGAAATGAGTGAAAAGTTGTCTCTCAGAAAGGCTATCACTACAGAACAGATAACACTGAGCCCATATAAATAAAGAATAAATGAGAGCACCCAAAAGCTACTGAAATGCAAGGTAAAGATATTCTTCTCAGGGGGCAATAGATCTCCCCCTCCCCTATCCCCACCTCCCAAAAAAAGCTAACAGGAAGCCTTGGAAAGCCTCACACCCCAGGTAAGTTTGTGCAGACAGTTCAGTCAAGACAAAACCTGGATGTAGCAGCTGAGCAAACAGCCAGAGCTTCAGCCCCTCAGCAGGAAGCTTCACCAGGCACGGGTTCCTGCCTCCCTCCTGTGGAGGTCAGGGGGAAGTGCAGGAAGTGGCATGAGTCAGTCTCCTAGGGCACACACAGCAGGAGGGACAAGTACAAGTCAAGAACAAGTTGAACTCATTTTTCCAAATCCCAGAAGCGCATAGTATCTAAAAAGCAGCCCTATGTGTCCACCATAAACGGTGCTCAGGGTTCCCTAAAAAAATAGCCAGGCTTATGGGGCTTTGCAAACAAACGTCACTTTGGTGCTTAGGATGAGGTTTTATCACCCAAAGGTCAACAGTACCTTCAGAGGTTCCTGTAGGAAAACTAATTGAAGCTTTTTCCTCTTTCCACCCCAGCCCCAACTCCCCAAAGGAGGAAAAGCTACCACGTAGATAGAGGAGCCAGGAACCCTGAGTTCTAAACACTGCACACATATCCCACCATTGCCAGTCATTCTAAAACAGCAGAATGAAAGTTAGTGTGCCAGGAACCTTCTGCATATTGCCTTTTTCAATGCTCACACAACTCTATATGGTAGGTATTATCATCTCCAGTTTACATATGAAGAAACTGAGGCTCAGAGAAGCCAGGCACATTCCCAGTAGTCACACAGCCTGTGAGAGGGAAAAGAAACACCCTAAGCTGACTTATTTAGATGCATACTCTTCCCAGGGTGGCGCACTGTCCAATATATCAGTCAGTGATCCTGTTTAGTGGGAAGGACTTCCAAGTCCTTAGGGAGTAAATCTATCAACAGTTAGAAGTCTGAGCAGAAATGAGCAGAAAACCAATGCTCTTGGTGGGGTGACCGATTTAAACATCTTCAGGTGTCCCTTTCTCCTGTCATGGACAGAACAGTTGTCATGGACGAGGAATCAACAAATGCACAAAGCTCCAAAATGTTGTCCAAATCTTAGATGGTGTCAGTTTCTGATAGGAGCAAGTCATTTGGCCACCCTACAAATTCCAGCATGAAGTCAAGGGGATACTAAGTGAAAATTGTAATTCATTACAATACTAAAGTAGGTTAAACCTAAGGATCAAATGAAACGCTTCATGGCACATGAAAGCCAGCACCTAGGACAAGATATGCCAAAGAGACCAGAGACAAAGACTTAAGGCTTCTTAGCACAGTCAAATGAGAGACAAGAATGGCGAAATTGCCAGTATGTAGCCCGAACAGGCTACTAGTATAGGCATTTGACTTACTCGAGGGCAAATGCAAATACCTCACAGGATTCTCCAGTGTGAATTAATCAGCCCCTATTAAGGATCTAACCCATTCCCCAAACATTGTCTGGCTGATTCTACCCCTTCTTTCTTTTACACAAATTACAAAAAACCGTTACAATCAGATACTCTTCTCTCTCTTCAACCACACGCCAGTTTTCTTCTGCCACCCCAGAGCAGCCAGGATACTCTGCTACACTACCCCACATACTTACTGGTAATTAGATTATCTTATTCTCATCTAAATCCATCCTTCTCCAACATCCACCATCTGCAAAAACTCTGACTCCATGTAAAGGTTCTAGGATTCCATAAAAATTCACCCAACCCCCACTTCATTGCCTAGCCCCCCTCCCACACTCCTATAGTAAAGCAAAAGAAACACCTTTTCCTCCCCCCTGCAAAAGCCATTCATTCTCAACCCATTTCCCTAAATACTATTTCTAACACCTCAGGTAAAGACCTGAAAATGATGGGGAAGGAAACACCCCAGGCATCCCAGCAGGGGGACCAGCTCCCATGGCAAAACCGAGAGATCAAAAGAGACAATTGCTTATATACACTGACAATCTCTCTGGGTTGCTACCTTGAATTTCCCAGAGGAAATCAGAGTTCAACATATTTTCTCTGAGGCCTCAAATGCCAGGCTGAAGAACCAGCCTCTATGCTGGATTCCTTGTAGGCATCATTACCTCAACTTTGCTCTCCCCCAACTTCTAAGTTAGTGACTGCAAGTCAGGCTGCAGCAATTATCCTGGCCCTGGCACTGGACTGCCAACCTCATTGGTATTGCTGTCCTGTCCACTTCACTGGACTGGGCAACAGCTCCCCGTTCAGTGTACTGTGAGCACCACCATCACTTACCCTCCCTCCAGGCCACCAATAGAATACAGAGCAGACAGCTGGCTTCTCCACCTGCCCTGGTAACCACCAAATCTGCTCTTCCTATTCTCTTCCTAGTGTGTCCCATGCCTGTGTCTAAAAGACTCCACCCAACGGTTCCTCAAAAATGATGAACATATCCAGGCTATGCAAGTGACTCATTCAAGTCAACGTGATCTGACTTTCTAAGAGACTGAAAGTATTAGACGGACACAAGCAGGGCTCTCTGCCAATTCAAAATTCTATGCCAAAAGGGTAGTATCTTACGGGCCTGGGATGCCCTCAAGAGCCAAAAGCACAATACTCTCTCTACCAAATAGAAAATCACATTGGGGGATAAATGTTGGGGACAATCAGCCAGGAGACTGATCAATACTAAAGTAGGTTAAACCTAAGGATCAAATGAAACGCTTCATGGCACATGAAAGCCAGCACCTAGGACAAGATATGCCAAAGAGACCAGAGACAAAGACTTAAGGCTTCTTAGCACAGTCAAATGAGAGACAAGAATGGCGAAATTGCCAGTATGTAGCCCGAACAGGCTACTAGTATAGGCATTTGACTTACTCGAGGGCAAATGCAAATACCTCACAGGATTCTCCAGTGTGAATTAATCAGCCCCTATTAAGGATCTAACCCATTCCCCAAACATTGTCTGGCTGATTCTACCCCTTCTTTCTTTTACACAAATTACAAAAAACCGTTACAATCAGATACTCTTCTCTCTCTTCAACCACACGCCAGTTTTCTTCTGCCACCCCAGAGCAGCCAGGATACTCTGCTACACTACCCCACATACTTACTGGTAATTAGATTATCTTATTCTCATCTAAATCCATCCTTCTCCAACATCCACCATCTGCAAAAACTCTGACTCCATGTAAAGGTTCTAGGATTCCATAAAAATTCACCCAACCCCCACTTCATTGCCTAGCCCCCCTCCCACACTCCTATAGTAAAGCAAAAGAAACACCTTTTCCTCCCCCCTGCAAAAGCCATTCATTCTCAACCCATTTCCCTAAATACTATTTCTAACACCTCAGGTAAAGACCTGAAAATGATGGGGAAGGAAACACCCCAGGCATCCCAGCAGGGGGACCAGCTCCCATGGCAAAACCGAGAGATCAAAAGAGACAATTGCTTATATACACTGACAATCTCTCTGGGTTGCTACCTTGAATTTCCCAGAGGAAATCAGAGTTCAACATATTTTCTCTGAGGCCTCAAATGCCAGGCTGAAGAACCAGCCTCTATGCTGGATTCCTTGTAGGCATCATTACCTCAACTTTGCTCTCCCCCAACTTCTAAGTTAGTGACTGCAAGTCAGGCTGCAGCAATTATCCTGGCCCTGGCACTGGACTGCCAACCTCATTGGTATTGCTGTCCTGTCCACTTCACTGGACTGGGCAACAGCTCCCCGTTCAGTGTACTGTGAGCACCACCATCACTTACCCTCCCTCCAGGCCACCAATAGAATACAGAGCAGACAGCTGGCTTCTCCACCTGCCCTGGTAACCACCAAATCTGCTCTTCCTATTCTCTTCCTAGTGTGTCCCATGCCTGTGTCTAAAAGACTCCACCCAACGGTTCCTCAAAAATGATGAACATATCCAGGCTATGCAAGTGACTCATTCAAGTCAACGTGATCTGACTTTCTAAGAGACTGAAAGTATTAGACGGACACAAGCAGGGCTCTCTGCCAATTCAAAATTCTATGCCAAAAGGGTAGTATCTTACGGGCCTGGGATGCCCTCAAGAGCCAAAAGCACAATACTCTCTCTACCAAATAGAAAATCACATTGGGGGATAAATGTTGGGGACAATCAGCCAGGAGACTGAGATAACCCTGAATCTAGATACCAAAGATTGGGCTAGATCCTATGACATGTGATCATCTTGCTGTGGGCCAGAAACATACCATTTGCAAATTGGAAAAAATGATTTTAAAGTAAATTTTTTTTAAGGAAAAAAGTTTTAAAAGTTTAAGTCTGAAAAGTAACGTTTAATGAAAAAGATCATATACACAAAATAACTTCTAATTCATTTTAAGCTCTGCCACTGGGTCTTTCACAGGCAAGTCAGTTTCCCATTGAGTCCAAACCACCTAAGATGCACCCACAATGGACAGACAACAACCCCCTCTTGAACAGGTGATCAACAGGAGCTGCTCCTCAGGCCTGATGAATGAATGTCCAAAACCTGAGTGACTAAGCAGGAAGGTTGACTTCCCAGGTGGTTCAGAAGGCCAGTTTCTTCATCAGGAGATAAACTCTGGAATCCACTTCAAACCCATGCAGGTTGTTGGCATCACCCTGCAGCCTCATGAGCAGGCCCCCATAGGAGACGTAGGCAGAGCTGAAACAGAAGGCCCCAGTCCCATGAGTCTGAGCTCTGGAGGAGCAGCTACTCAGCAGCTCTCCAACCTAGTCTAAGAAAAAAGAGGCACCTTTCTAGTGTTTTGTCATTAGGAGCCAAAATTCAAAGATGAATGCACAGATGTGTGCAAGGCAGTGTTCTTTACATCAGTAAAGGTGGGAACTACTACATGACCAGAAAAAGGGAAATGGTAAAATGAATTAAGATATATTCACTTACTGGAATGTTATGCAGTTATTAAAATGTTCAGGAAAAGCCTTAAACTGACATGAGGAATCCCATTTTACATAGAGAAGAAAAACTGTAAACAACATGATATCAAAGAAAAAAGTACACAGAAAAAAACCTAGAATATTCAAAAATGTTTATGTAAAAGATTCCCTCTGAGTATGGAATTATAGGTGACTGTTTCCTTCTTCACATTACTTCTCTACTTTTCAAATGTCTTACAAAGGGCACATATTGTTTTAATAAGATTTTAAAGAAAAGAAAAAATAGTTAGGCAGGGAAACCAAAGAACTTAGGATTGGATTGCAGAGTAGCAAAACACACACACACAAATAAAGAAAAATAAAAAGCCTAGCAGCTTAATCACTTAATGCTGCATTTAGTTCCGGGGGAAACAACTTTCCTTTGTACTTCACATAGCAAGATTACCAGTTTTTCATGTGGACCACTAGGCCTGAGGTCCTGATAAAGGGCAAAGTGAGCAGACTATATTTCAAAGTGGACACTTCCCAGAACAGCTGATCTCTGGGTCCCCCCACTCTAGGTTTGAGATGCTTAGGGAAACAGACCCAACACAGGAAGCATGAGATGGCCCAAATTACCCAAACAGGCTGGCAAGGGTTTTCACAAGACCATGGAACTTACAGACGTGTTGCTGCTTCAGTAGAAGTTTCGTCTCCCTCAATTCTGTACACTTTCCCATACATTACATACTCAAATTGGTCAGCCCTGTGGAACACCAAAGGCAGTTATTCTTAAAAATAGTTAAGAATGATAGGAAGCCTTTTAAAAATAACTGGTAACTAAGTGCCAGCATTATAACAACAGGCACTTTCTAAACACAATGTCATTTAGTCCTCACAGCAACTCTGAGCTAGGTATGGCCATCTGCACTTTACTGATGAGGAAACTGAGGCTGGAAGACATTAAGGTTAGTCAATGAGTAAGTGGTTGGGCTGAGATTTGAGTTCAGTGAGGCTCCAAAGCCTTTGCAACACACAAAACTCCCTCCCAAGACACAAGGCCCATACAGCCTAGGTCACTCAGTGGTCATTTTCTCAGACAGTAAATAGCTACAGCTCACAAGTATGTAACCACTGCTCTGGGTAACCACCTGGTTGTATGACTTAAGTGTAGCAGTTTCCTTAAGGTCACTCAGATTCTGCTGATAATCATTTATTCCATAAATAAGGTCTTTCTATATCACTTAGTCCTCAGGTATATTTCAAGTACTCCCTCCTTTACTCCCTCACCTGGAAGGCCTATCATCTGTGGGGTTGTATTCCCCATCATCCAGGGTACCATCTTCATACAGGGTACTGGCTATGACCAACCGGAACTTGTCACCTGAAAATAATGTCAAATATCTCAGAGTGAAAAACAGCTGAAATGGTAAAAAGCCACCTGGTGTTGTCTATGTTCAATACTTACCCAAGTCTACAGGGTAAATCTGAATGTTTACATCTAAGATTAGGTCCATCTTGAAAGATTCACTCTCACAATGCAGTCGAGACACTGGAGGAAAGTAGAGAGTGGCAGAGGTAATTGCCAGGACAGGACAGGCCCTACAGACCCCATCTTGGGGGGTTATATACAATAGAACACTCAATCTAACCCAGCCTGCATCCAAGGCCTCTTATCTGCTCTCACAGAAATGCAAATTCAATCAAAACCAGATATACAAGAATGAAAAGAGAGAAAAACTATGGCAAGTGGACAGAATTCCCAGAAAAAAAAATGAAAGCTTCTCTGGCAACAAGTAATACCCCGGGTTGTTGGTCTGCCTAGGTGATTAAGAAACAACCTGACTTTGGTCAAGTTATTCATCCAAAGGGTTCACCTTTCTGTGCCAGGTCTGTGCTGAAGGGATTATCAGGACTGTAAAAAACAGGTGTTTGTTTTAACATCTCAGTCTCCAGCCAAAATAAAAGACACCAAGGAAAAACAGTTATTGTTCAATGACAGAATAAAGAGCATTATACCAAGCAGTCAAGTCTAATTCAGAGAGGACTTCACGAAGAGCTAAACATCCTGAGGGCAATACAATATATCCTCCAAGTCAGATTACTCGCTGTACAGACTTGGGTGCGTTCTTAACCTCTCTGGGAAAAATGAGTAAGACACCACATACCTCATGGAGACTCCTGAAAGGAATTAGTATGACAGTGTGTATATGATGCACAGTACATCCCCTCGCACAGAATGGGTACTGCTCAGAAAGACGCCCAAGAGTTTACTAGCACCATGAGAAAAGACCACCCAGGCACCTGGCACATATGGAAGCCAGGGAGGACTCGAAGTCTTCCTTTGCTCATCTATAAAATGTTTCCTGAAAGAGGTCCCTACGTTAGGACCACATGAGTTGGGTACACAAGGGAAACAGGGGCGTGTCCCCGAGGATATTAACCCCTTCCCACCAACCGCCCCTACATACCTTACTTACCTCGGTCAAACTTCTTGCCCTCCGGGTCAATATCTTTCACATCAAAAATATCCTCAAACAGGATGCCCGCCATAGTAAGGGGGCCAGGAGAGCAGCAGAAGGTCCGAGAGCGCGACGAGGGGTACGCGAACCCCCTCACGTGGAGAAAAGGAGAGGAGTGGGTGATAAGGTAGCGACTGAAAAGCGGCGGCAAAGGAATAGAATAACGCATGCGCCCGGACGCGCAATAACGCAACCACTTCCGCCGCCTCGCTCTCGGGGCGTCTTAACTTCCGCCCCGAATGATTGCTGTCGAAAGTCTTCAGTATTTAGGGCGGGTGTCAGAGCAAGGTAACTCCTCCGGGGCGGAGACAAGATAGGTCCCACCCCCGGCCAAGGTGGCGGGGTTTCTCGCTTTCAACTGAGGTTCTACTACGCCCTCTTCGGAGTACCTGTCCGGAAGACTGGAATGCATGAGAGCCTATCCCAGCCAGGGACCTTGATCCTTGACCCAGAGAAGCCAGGCCCTATTCCTGCCCTGCCGGTCTGCGTGTCCTCAGAGGGCACAGTCCCTGCCGAAAGCTGGCGGGGCAGAACCCTGCCCCCCAGCATTCAGACAGGGCAAGGCACAGTGCCCAGCCCCTCTAGATGGTACCGAGGTCCCCAGGCCGGCCCGGGCCGGATCGGCCTTAGTGCCTTTCACCCGAGCCAGGTCTGTCCTGTTTGGGAATTTGCCATGATATCACTATGGGTAAAAGGAAAGCTGCACTGTCCCCTCCCCTGGTTCTGCAGCCTCCCCACCACTGGCCTCTTCCCCTGGACTCCACTCTCTTCCCCCACACTGCCCCTTCAGCCTGGCATTAAGCCTATTACACTGTCCTCCTGAGCATTGTTCCTTCTGCTTGGTCCTACCGGTTCCCCACCACCACCACCACCAACCACCACAACTACCCTCTTCCTCTGGACATTGATCTCCTATATGCCTCTTCATGCTGGCACTGTCCTCTCCCACAGATACAGCTCTTGTCTTACATTGCCCCTTCCTTTTGGGTGCTGGCTCCTCCTCACACTGACCCCTCCTTCTAGGCACCCCGCTCTGCCTCCCACATGCCCCTTCTTCATCCTGGCACTCTTCCTCCGCACACTGCCTGTTTCCTGGGCACTGGCCTCCCCTGACACCATCTTTAACACTGCCCATTCTCCTTGTGCCCACCCCACCCTCTGCTCTATCCTTCGCCTGACTGACAGAGAACGCAGAGCCCCAGCAGGCAGTTCCCCTATGGCGGCAAGACGTCAGCAGCTACTCGGATTTCTCCTTGGGCCCTGCCAGGGAGAAGCGACCTCTGTCCCCCAACGCCCGCTCCCAGAAGCGGCCTCCCCAGCACCTAGAACTCCCTTCCCTTAGGCCTCACCCTATCCTGTTCCCTCCCCACCCCCACACCAGCACACCCGCAGGCCAGGTTGCTCCAGGTGCACCTCCCTGGGGGAGCCGCGAGGAAAGGAAGAGAGGGGATGCGTGAGACGACGCTCTCAGTTCCCAGCAACACACCTCCTGCCCCTGTTTCTGGGCCCTATTGTCCCCGTCCGAGTCCCCCTAACTTTGCTTCTCACTCCAGATGGAGGAGAGGGGTCCAACCAGGGCTTATTCTGAGCCGCTGGCCCCTGCGGCGAAGCAAGAGAGGGTGCCACTCCTGAGAGAGAGACTGGACCCGAAGACTCTGCTTTAGACTGCTGAGTAGTCCCGGCCCGAGGCCCGATCGAATCCCGACACCTCAACTCCTCCAGCTCAGGCGCTGGGAGCCACAGACCCGGCCGGGCCCGGCCCCTGCACGTGCCAGCGGACCCGCCCCCCGCTCTGGCCCCGGGTGCCCCTCTCAGCGCCCGGCCTCCGCGGAGAAGGTGCGGGCTCGCGCGTTCCAAGCGCCCCCTGCCGCTCCCCACTGCCCGGAAGGCGGCCCCGGCGCAGACCCCAGCTCTGCCCGCCCGGCCCGGGTGGAAGGGCGGGCGGGCGGAGCCGCACAGAGGGCACCGCCCTCGGCCCGCCCGCCAAGGAGGGGAGACGAGCGGGAGGCTGCGCCAGCGGCGCCCGCTCGGGCCCGCCGCACTCCGCACTCGGCCGCCTGGGCTGCGGAGACGGGCGGGTGCTGGCGCGGGCTCTGCGGGCCGGAGCCGAGTCCGGGCCAGAGCCCGAGCCGCAGCGGCAGGCCAGAGACCTGTGCGTGGAGATGGCGGCCGCGGCGGCCGTTTCGGCGGCGGAAGGGATGGAGCCGCGGGCGCTGCAGTACGAGCAGACCCTGGTAAGTGAAGCTGAGTCGAGCCCTAAGGAGTGCGGTCCCGGAGTGCTCCTGGTTACCCTTGGGAAGCGCGAGGAGTGGGGGGTCTATCCTATCCCCGCTCCAGCCTTCTGAGCAGAGGGTGGAGGGCTAAAGGATGGAAAGCTGCGTGCAGGTTTCTGTTAGAGACTGGGAGCCTGCAGAGGACAAGGACATCAGATGCTTGTCCCAGGTGTCCTTCCCTTTACCCCCAGCTCGTTTTCTTTGCTCTTCCCATTCACCATCTGGGCCCAAGTCTCAATACCCCACTACGTCTCCCCAGCACCACTCACACCCTTGAACTTTCTCTGAACTCCTATCTCCACCACCCAAGATGGTCCCTCTGTCCCCACTGTGTGCACGGCACTGTGCTAGCCATAGAAGCAAGAGTGTGTGGGATGATCAGACCCAAACCCAGCCCGTCCCCAGCATTGGCAGGAACTCTTCTGTTCCTTCTCTGAGAAAAAAGGTGGCCTGACACCCTAGGGAACGGCACCCTGGGGAAGATGAGTCAAGCAGGAAAGGATGTGGGAATTGGTACCTTGTCCATACTGACTCTGGATATCCAGCCCTCATCCCCAGGGGTGTCCATTGACCTCATTAGGAGGAGGGGTCCCAGGGCTCTGAGTTGACTCATGGCCACCACTGTAACGTAATGTTTGAGAAGTCTTTTGGCCCTTCTTCTGTCAGTGGGGTGTGGGCCCTATAGTTTCTTTTTACCAGGTTGGGCTGGAATTTGCCCAGGAAGGAAGGAGGGAGGGAGGGAACTGTCCAGAAGATAGGGGCCTGAGCTTAGTAACTGAGGCTGGGAGGTGCCCAGTTACTTGAGCAGTGTCTGGATGAAACAGGATAACAGGGAGGGGGTGGGGGTGGGGGTGGAGCAAGGGTGGAGGGGCAGGCCTTCACATAGTGTGGGAGGTGTCTGTCAGTCTGCAAGGCTGAGAAGGGGGCATTGGTCAAGGAAGCCGGTCACCTGGCCTCTAAAATGGTGTCTATCTGTTGACCAGCCACATCTCCATATCCTTCACCTTGTCTCTATCTCTGGAATGAGTTCTCAGGGTCAAACTCTCTCTGGAGCATTCTCTGCTCTAGCCTCTCCCCATTCTCCTTCTGATCCCTTTGTCTCTCTCTCACACACTCAACCTCCCCCCTCCTATGCTGTGTCTGCCTCTTTATATTCTACTTTCTCTCGTTCCCTCTTTCCTTCTCTGCCCCTTCCTCTGGCCTTTTTCCCTTCTCTCTCCTCTCTCTCTGGTTCCCTACCCTCCCTTTCCTCACTCTCTATCACTCACTCTCTGTCTCTATCTTTCCCTCCCTCCACCCTCCACCCCACCACACCAGCCCCAACAGGAGGCCTTTGTGTCCCGAAGCTCTGCGGGTGGCAGCCGGAATCTACTCCTCCCCAACCCCCAACACACACCCGGCTTGGCAGGTCTAGCTTGGCTGGGGGACTCTCCAGTCCCAGCACCCCAGCGTCCAGTCACAGCCCAGCCACCAGCTTCTGTTGGCCCCCAACCCACCACTGGACTCAGGGCATCTCCAGAATGAGGCCACCAAGGGAGGACTGAGGGCACTCTCCACCCACCCTGAGACTTTCCAATCCCGGCTGGGCTGGCAAGCTGGTAGGGGGTGGGGGACCGGAGAATGGGGACAAGGGGATTAGGGTGGGTGGCAGGGGTGCAGCTGAGTTGGTCACAGGCCATGGGCCCAGCAGGAACGTGATAAGGATTGGGGCCCCGCCTGCTCCTGGGCCCCACTCAGCTGCCCCCAGCTCCCTGAGGCCCTCATTGTTACCCATATGCCCTTGAACATCCCTTATTCTCTGACCTTTCCTCCTCCCACTTTCAGTCTGCCTTAGGTTTTTCCATCTTTTCCTCCTCTGGGGCCTTCCCTCCCACTCCTCCTCAGTGCTTCCCTCCTGGCCTGTGAGCAGAGAACTGATTATTCTGCCTCCCCCAGAGCAGCATCTCTGTACCTTGGCTGTCCCCAGCACTCTGGCCAGGACAGCCCCCACAGTCTGCAGTGTGCATTGTTCCCATACCCCAAGCCAAAGTGGGAGCTGTGGGTTCAAGAAGGGGTATGTAATGTGGGGGCTGGAGGAAGGGGAGTTAAGGCCCTAGGAGAACTCCCTTCTCCCTGCTCAGCCTGTCTAATACCCCACCTTCCCTATTGCTCAGATGTATGGACGATATACTCAAGACCTTGGGGCCTTTGCCAAAGAGGAAGCTGCTCGGATCCGCCTGGCAGGGCCTGAGCCTTGGAGGGGTCCACCTTCCCCTCGGGCTCCCCCAGAGCTCCTGGAATATGGACAGAGCCGTTGTGCCCGATGCCGCAGTGAGACTGGGTTGCGGCAGGGGACCTAGCTATGCTGTACTGAGAGGGACAGAGGCTATTAGAGCTGCCCATTGGGGAGCTGGGGGGAAAAGGGTGGGAGCACTTTGGTGCCAGCCTCTCCCTTCTTCCCCTCCCTGCTCCCAGTCTGTTCCGTGCACTGCCATAAGTTCCTAGTGTCCAGGGTTGGTGAAGATTGGATCTTCCTGGTCCTGCTGGGGCTACTCATGGCACTGGTCAGCTGGGTCATGGACTATGCCATTGCCGCCTGTCTGCAGGGTGAGGACAAGGGCTGGTGGGAGAGGATGGGAAAAGGCAACTTGCTTCCTCCATGCCACATTTGTCCTAGTGTCTTGGCCACTTGGCCACTGATCACTTTCCCCAGCCAGCCTGACTATCCGATGTCAGGCATAATCACTGCCGTTCTATAGGCCACAGCTTCTTGCCTCCCCTCTCCAACTGACCCTCTTAACTAGAGTGGGATCTGTGTCCCAGTGAATGCCCTCCCTCTCAGACCCCTCCCTACCCCTTGTACCAGGCTCTGTGCAATGTTCCTGGGGACAGCTTATCCTATCAGTAAGTCCCAGTGGCCAGGCCAGGCCTGGGTATGCACTTCAGTGGTCCAGTGGTGTGTCTTCTCCCCACAGCTCAGCAGTGGATGTCCCGAGGCTTGAACACCAGCATCTTGCTCCAGTACCTGGCCTGGGTCACCTACCCCATTGTCCTCATCACTTTCTCCGCTGGTTTCACACAGATCCTGGCCCCACAGGCTGTCGGTACAGTAGGAGAGAAGGGGAGGGCAGAGATGGGAACTTCTGAAACGGGCACATCAAATGACTCCCCTGGAACTCTCCTGCCCTTTGCAGGGTCTGGCATCCCTGAGATGAAGACCATCTTGCGGGGGGTGGTGCTGAAAGAATACCTCACCCTCAAGACCTTTGTAGCCAAGGTCATCGGGTTGACCTGTGCCCTGGGCAGCGGGATGCCCCTTGGCAAAGAGGTAACTGCAAGTTAGGTATTGAAGCAGTCCCTCCCAGGGGAGGAAGCCAGGCCAAGGTCAGGGTGTGCCCCATCCCCACTCACCGCCTGTCCCCACCTCCCAGGGCCCTTTTGTGCATATCGCAAGTATGTGTGCCGCCCTGCTCAGCAAATTCCTCTCCCTCTTTGGGGGCATCTATGAGGTAAGGGGGACCCTGGAGGTATGCAGAGGGAAGGGGTGGGCTGCTGAGCCTAAGCTGACTCCCCTTTCCACTCATCTTACCAGAATGAATCCCGGAACACAGAGATGCTGGCTGCTGCCTGTGCAGTGGGAGTGGGCTGTTGTTTCGCAGCACCTATCGGAGGTCAGCAGGCAGTCCAGCCCTCAGCCCTGCCCTCAGCCTCGCCTGCTTTGCCCCCCTCACCTGAGTCCTTCAGCCAGGCCCAGGCCTCAAGTGGTGCTGTCCCCTGCACCCTCACAGGCGTCCTGTTCAGCATTGAGGTTACTTCCACCTTCTTCGCTGTGCGTAACTACTGGCGGGGCTTCTTTGCTGCCACCTTCAGTGCCTTCATCTTCCGGGTCTTAGCGGTGTGGAACCGTGATGAAGGTGGGGTCCCTAGGGGATGAGGGGAGCCCCTGAGATGGCTCAGCTGGGGGCTCTTGAAGCTGTACCTGCCTTGCTCTACTACTCTGCCTTCCTTTCAGAGACCATTACAGCTCTCTTCAAAACCCGATTCCGGCTTGATTTCCCCTTTGACCTCCAGGAGCTGCCAGCCTTTGCTGTCATCGGGTGAGTTGCTGAGGGAGCTGGGGTGTATTGGAGAGAGGAGGTAAAGGAGGGCAAATCTCCTTTACCCTGGTGCTTCCTCCTTCTCTAGTATTGCTAGTGGCTTCGGGGGAGCACTCTTTGTGTACCTGAACCGGAAGATTGTCCAGGTGATGCGGAAGCAGAAAACCATCAACCGCTTCCTCATGAAGAAGTGAGTTGGTTCTGAGCCCCTCTCTGACCTCTTTGGGTTGTGTAAGGGTCACGGTGGGGTCAGAGGGCCAGTGACAGGTGAGATGGCAAATAGCAGCCCAGTCAAAAACAGGTGCTTCATTGAGAAAATCAGCCAATGGTGCCTTCCAGCTAATTGAACATTTTGACTTTTATATGAATTACTTGAAAACTGGCACTTCTGAGTTTTCAGTCAGTGGCAGAGAGCATTTTGGATCAAGACTGAAGCTTCCTTAGGCCCTCAGCCTGGCCCAGATAGCAGTGTTTGCTGGACAAGTTTTGGGCCTTGTCCCCTTGGAAATAATGGGGTTGGTTGAGGTTTTTTTTTATCTCCAGAGCACAGCTCTCAGTAGTGACCTTGAGAATTGGGAGTGAGGATCCTGAGACGTGACTTCTGTTGGGACTGACATCCTTCAGGGAAAGGACAGGCCACTGAACCTGTTCCCTGTGGCACATTTGGTCAACTTCATGAGTGACCCCAGCTTCCCCAGACACTGATCTTCACTCTAAGTCACCAGAGAGAAACAGGCTGAACCTTCTCCACACTCTCCCACAAGGGAATTCTGAGAGCAGGGGGAGGAGTCACAGCTCAGAGGCATCCAAGAGAGGGCTGGGGGGATGGACCTTCTGCCCACACAGGGAGGCCAGAGCCAACACAAAGGCATTTGGACTCGTGGTACCCCAGATGGCCACCCCCCTTTGGGCCATGATACCATGAACCGCAAATGGGACCTGCTCTCACAGCTGTGTGTTTTTCTGTAAGGGCCAAGGCTCTGTTGTGATCTTAGCCCTGAGGTATGTGAGGGCACCCAGCCTATCACCAGCCTGTAATAGGTACACCACCCATGTTTGATGCTGTGAAACCTGTATCTCTAGACGCCTGCTCTTCCCAGCTCTGGTGACCCTGCTCATCTCCACTCTGACCTTTCCCCCTGGCTTTGGACAGTTCATGGCTGGACAGGTAACTCCAGGCAGAACAGGAACTTGGGTTTTCCCTTGGGATACCTCTCTTCTGAAGGCAAGAGCCCCCTCCTCTCCTATCGGCCCCTTCTCTTTATTCTGCCTGTTCCTTAGCCTGAGGCTTCCTGTTCCCCGACAGCTCTCACAGAAAGAGACACTGGTCACTCTGTTTGACAACCGGACATGGGTCCGCCAGGGCTTGGTGGAAGAGCTAGAGCCACCTGGAACCTCACAGGCCTGGAGCCCACCGCGTGCCAACGTCTTCCTCACCCTGGTCATCTTCATTCTCATGAAGGTAGGGCTCCTTACATATGGACATCTAACAATGACATAGGCTTACAGGGTGCCAGGCACTGTTCTAAGCACTTTGCTTATATTAACTCCTCCAAGCCTCACGACAATGCTATGAGAAAGGTACCATTAGCACTCCTGTTTTAAAGATGGGCAGTCGAGGCACAAAAGGTTAAGAAATTGGCCCAAGACACAGAGCTGGATGGCAGAAGAGGATTTGAACCTGAGCCATCTGGTTCTGGAGCCCTTCCCCTTCCCTTTACCTCTAGGGGATTCTGAGATAGGTGGGACATTCGTGCCTAACTGTAAGAAATGTAGGTCCCACAGGGTGGAGCTGGGACCAGGGGTTGCCTCTACTTGTCTGAAGTGCCTCCTACCTGCAGTTCTGGATGTCTGCACTGGCCACCACCATCCCAGTGCCCTGCGGGGCCTTCATGCCTGTCTTTGTCATTGGTGAGTTCTTAGCTGCCTGTTCTCCCAACCTGTACCCTTCCCACCCTCTAGCCACCTCCTGGCTGTCTCCTCTCTGCCTGGAAGCAGGTTTTGGTCCATCCCCAGCCCCACCCCTACCCCCACAGGGCTGTCCCCTGTATTGAATGACCCACTGGCCCCTCCCCTCCCCTCTCACCTTCTTTCTTCCTAGTACCCCAGCCCTCCCCCTCTACCTGTTTCTCTTCCCATCCTCCTCCCTGAAGGAGCGGCATTTGGGCGTCTGGTGGGCGAAAGTATGGCTGCCTGGTTCCCAGATGGGATTCACACAGACAGCAGCACCTACAGGATTGTGCCTGGGGGCTACGCGGTGGTGGGTAAGTGCTCCAGGTCCTTCCCCATCTGTCTTGGAAGACCCCTGGGCCAAGCCACAGGGTCTGAGGGTTTGGTGTCTGCTGCTGGCAGAAAGTAGGCTTCCCAGAGATGCCGAAACCCAGTCCCCAAGACCTGCTGGGCAGTCCTGAGGGCCCCACTGGACTGTCCCTGGGTGGGGAGGGTTATCTGGGGCCTGGGCATCATGAAGAGTCAGGGTGGCTGTCTCCAGGGGCAGCTGCACTGGCAGGAGCAGTGACACACACAGTGTCCACGGCCGTGATTGTGTTCGAGCTCACAGGCCAGATCGCCCACATCCTGCCCGTCATGATCGCCGTCATCCTGGCCAACGCCGTTGCTCAGAGCCTACAGCCCTCACTCTATGACAGCATCATCCGAATCAAGAAACTGCCCTATCTGCCTGAGTTGGGCTGGGGCCGCCACCAGTATGGAGGGCCGGGTGACAAGGGGGGAATGGGTGAGGGACAGAAGGCATCCTAGGACCCACTCCCAGGGAAGCTGGGAGACCAGCCACCATGCTCCCTCATGGCCAGAGCTGCCCTTGTCCCCACAGGCTCTGGGGCCTTCCTTATGACCCCAGGCTGGCAGTGCTCTGGGCTACCCTCCCCAAGCTGACCATAGACCAAGTGCCTCTCTCTGCTTCCAGGCAGTACCGCGTACGAGTGGAGGACATCATGGTGCGAGATGTTCCCCATGTGGCCCTCAGCTGCACCTTCCGTGACCTGCAGTTGGCACTGCACAGAACCAAGGGCCGTGTGTTGGCCCTGGTAGAGTCCCCTGGTGAGACCAGGAGGGGGCCCAGATGCTAAGGGCATCTCTTAGGGCCACTGGTCAGGGAGGGAGGAACAGGAGCTCAGGACCAGCTTGTTGGTTCCAAAAGGAATGGTCCAACATTTGCCAGCCAGGGGTTTCCCTCTGGTGTGTAGCCTGTGTCCAAGGCCTCCCTCAGGGTGTGAGAGAAAGCCGGGAGGATATGAGGGCCTTACCCCTGGCCCCTGAGTCCTCCCACTATGCTGTACTGAGAGGGACAGAGGCTATTAGAGCTGCCCATTGGGGAGCTGGGGGGAAAAGGGTGGGAGCACTTTGGTGCCAGCCTCTCCCTTCTTCCCCTCCCTGCTCCCAGTCTGTTCCGTGCACTGCCATAAGTTCCTAGTGTCCAGGGTTGGTGAAGATTGGATCTTCCTGGTCCTGCTGGGGCTACTCATGGCACTGGTCAGCTGGGTCATGGACTATGCCATTGCCGCCTGTCTGCAGGGTGAGGACAAGGGCTGGTGGGAGAGGATGGGAAAAGGCAACTTGCTTCCTCCATGCCACATTTGTCCTAGTGTCTTGGCCACTTGGCCACTGATCACTTTCCCCAGCCAGCCTGACTATCCGATGTCAGGCATAATCACTGCCGTTCTATAGGCCACAGCTTCTTGCCTCCCCTCTCCAACTGACCCTCTTAACTAGAGTGGGATCTGTGTCCCAGTGAATGCCCTCCCTCTCAGACCCCTCCCTACCCCTTGTACCAGGCTCTGTGCAATGTTCCTGGGGACAGCTTATCCTATCAGTAAGTCCCAGTGGCCAGGCCAGGCCTGGGTATGCACTTCAGTGGTCCAGTGGTGTGTCTTCTCCCCACAGCTCAGCAGTGGATGTCCCGAGGCTTGAACACCAGCATCTTGCTCCAGTACCTGGCCTGGGTCACCTACCCCATTGTCCTCATCACTTTCTCCGCTGGTTTCACACAGATCCTGGCCCCACAGGCTGTCGGTACAGTAGGAGAGAAGGGGAGGGCAGAGATGGGAACTTCTGAAACGGGCACATCAAATGACTCCCCTGGAACTCTCCTGCCCTTTGCAGGGTCTGGCATCCCTGAGATGAAGACCATCTTGCGGGGGGTGGTGCTGAAAGAATACCTCACCCTCAAGACCTTTGTAGCCAAGGTCATCGGGTTGACCTGTGCCCTGGGCAGCGGGATGCCCCTTGGCAAAGAGGTAACTGCAAGTTAGGTATTGAAGCAGTCCCTCCCAGGGGAGGAAGCCAGGCCAAGGTCAGGGTGTGCCCCATCCCCACTCACCGCCTGTCCCCACCTCCCAGGGCCCTTTTGTGCATATCGCAAGTATGTGTGCCGCCCTGCTCAGCAAATTCCTCTCCCTCTTTGGGGGCATCTATGAGGTAAGGGGGACCCTGGAGGTATGCAGAGGGAAGGGGTGGGCTGCTGAGCCTAAGCTGACTCCCCTTTCCACTCATCTTACCAGAATGAATCCCGGAACACAGAGATGCTGGCTGCTGCCTGTGCAGTGGGAGTGGGCTGTTGTTTCGCAGCACCTATCGGAGGTCAGCAGGCAGTCCAGCCCTCAGCCCTGCCCTCAGCCTCGCCTGCTTTGCCCCCCTCACCTGAGTCCTTCAGCCAGGCCCAGGCCTCAAGTGGTGCTGTCCCCTGCACCCTCACAGGCGTCCTGTTCAGCATTGAGGTTACTTCCACCTTCTTCGCTGTGCGTAACTACTGGCGGGGCTTCTTTGCTGCCACCTTCAGTGCCTTCATCTTCCGGGTCTTAGCGGTGTGGAACCGTGATGAAGGTGGGGTCCCTAGGGGATGAGGGGAGCCCCTGAGATGGCTCAGCTGGGGGCTCTTGAAGCTGTACCTGCCTTGCTCTACTACTCTGCCTTCCTTTCAGAGACCATTACAGCTCTCTTCAAAACCCGATTCCGGCTTGATTTCCCCTTTGACCTCCAGGAGCTGCCAGCCTTTGCTGTCATCGGGTGAGTTGCTGAGGGAGCTGGGGTGTATTGGAGAGAGGAGGTAAAGGAGGGCAAATCTCCTTTACCCTGGTGCTTCCTCCTTCTCTAGTATTGCTAGTGGCTTCGGGGGAGCACTCTTTGTGTACCTGAACCGGAAGATTGTCCAGGTGATGCGGAAGCAGAAAACCATCAACCGCTTCCTCATGAAGAAGTGAGTTGGTTCTGAGCCCCTCTCTGACCTCTTTGGGTTGTGTAAGGGTCACGGTGGGGTCAGAGGGCCAGTGACAGGTGAGATGGCAAATAGCAGCCCAGTCAAAAACAGGTGCTTCATTGAGAAAATCAGCCAATGGTGCCTTCCAGCTAATTGAACATTTTGACTTTTATATGAATTACTTGAAAACTGGCACTTCTGAGTTTTCAGTCAGTGGCAGAGAGCATTTTGGATCAAGACTGAAGCTTCCTTAGGCCCTCAGCCTGGCCCAGATAGCAGTGTTTGCTGGACAAGTTTTGGGCCTTGTCCCCTTGGAAATAATGGGGTTGGTTGAGGTTTTTTTTTATCTCCAGAGCACAGCTCTCAGTAGTGACCTTGAGAATTGGGAGTGAGGATCCTGAGACGTGACTTCTGTTGGGACTGACATCCTTCAGGGAAAGGACAGGCCACTGAACCTGTTCCCTGTGGCACATTTGGTCAACTTCATGAGTGACCCCAGCTTCCCCAGACACTGATCTTCACTCTAAGTCACCAGAGAGAAACAGGCTGAACCTTCTCCACACTCTCCCACAAGGGAATTCTGAGAGCAGGGGGAGGAGTCACAGCTCAGAGGCATCCAAGAGAGGGCTGGGGGGATGGACCTTCTGCCCACACAGGGAGGCCAGAGCCAACACAAAGGCATTTGGACTCGTGGTACCCCAGATGGCCACCCCCCTTTGGGCCATGATACCATGAACCGCAAATGGGACCTGCTCTCACAGCTGTGTGTTTTTCTGTAAGGGCCAAGGCTCTGTTGTGACCTTAGCCCTGAGGTATGTGAGGGCACCCAGCCTATCACCAGCCTGTAATAGGTACACCACCCATGTTTGATGCTGTGAAACCTGTATCTCTAGACGCCTGCTCTTCCCAGCTCTGGTGACCCTGCTCATCTCCACTCTGACCTTTCCCCCTGGCTTTGGACAGTTCATGGCTGGACAGGTAACTCCAGGCAGAACAGGAACTTGGGTTTTCCCTTGGGATACCTCTCTTCTGAAGGCAAGAGCCCCCTCCTCTCCTATCGGCCCCTTCTCTTTATTCTGCCTGTTCCTTAGCCTGAGGCTTCCTGTTCCCCGACAGCTCTCACAGAAAGAGACACTGGTCACTCTGTTTGACAACCGGACATGGGTCCGCCAGGGCTTGGTGGAAGAGCTAGAGCCACCTGGAACCTCACAGGCCTGGAGCCCACCGCGTGCCAACGTCTTCCTCACCCTGGTCATCTTCATTCTCATGAAGGTAGGGCTCCTTACATATGGACATCTAACAATGACATAGGCTTACAGGGTGCCAGGCACTGTTCTAAGCACTTTGCTTATATTAACTCCTCCAAGCCTCACGACAATGCTATGAGAAAGGTACCATTAGCACTCCTGTTTTAAAGATGGGCAGTCGAGGCACAAAAGGTTAAGAAATTGGCCCAAGACACAGAGCTGGATGGCAGAAGAGGATTTGAACCTGAGCCATCTGGTTCTGGAGCCCTTCCCCTTCCCTTTACCTCTAGGGGATTCTGAGATAGGTGGGACATTCGTGCCTAACTGTAAGAAATGTAGGTCCCACAGGGTGGAGCTGGGACCAGGGGTTGCCTCTACTTGTCTGAAGTGCCTCCTACCTGCAGTTCTGGATGTCTGCACTGGCCACCACCATCCCAGTGCCCTGCGGGGCCTTCATGCCTGTCTTTGTCATTGGTGAGTTCTTAGCTGCCTGTTCTCCCAACCTGTACCCTTCCCACCCTCTAGCCACCTCCTGGCTGTCTCCTCTCTGCCTGGAAGCAGGTTTTGGTCCATCCCCAGCCCCACCCCTACCCCCACAGGGCTGTCCCCTGTATTGAATGACCCACTGGCCCCTCCCCTCCCCTCTCACCTTCTTTCTTCCTAGTACCCCAGCCCTCCCCCTCTACCTGTTTCTCTTCCCATCCTCCTCCCTGAAGGAGCGGCATTTGGGCGTCTGGTGGGCGAAAGTATGGCTGCCTGGTTCCCAGATGGGATTCACACAGACAGCAGCACCTACAGGATTGTGCCTGGGGGCTACGCGGTGGTGGGTAAGTGCTCCAGGTCCTTCCCCATCTGTCTTGGAAGACCCCTGGGCCAAGCCACAGGGTCTGAGGGTTTGGTGTCTGCTGCTGGCAGAAAGTAGGCTTCCCAGAGATGCCGAAACCCAGTCCCCAAGACCTGCTGGGCAGTCCTGAGGGCCCCACTGGACTGTCCCTGGGTGGGGAGGGTTATCTGGGGCCTGGGCATCATGAAGAGTCAGGGTGGCTGTCTCCAGGGGCAGCTGCACTGGCAGGAGCAGTGACACACACAGTGTCCACGGCCGTGATTGTGTTCGAGCTCACAGGCCAGATCGCCCACATCCTGCCCGTCATGATCGCCGTCATCCTGGCCAACGCCGTTGCTCAGAGCCTACAGCCCTCACTCTATGACAGCATCATCCGAATCAAGAAACTGCCCTATCTGCCTGAGTTGGGCTGGGGCCGCCACCAGTATGGAGGGCCGGGTGACAAGGGGGGAATGGGTGAGGGACAGAAGGCATCCTAGGACCCACTCCCAGGGAAGCTGGGAGACCAGCCACCATGCTCCCTCATGGCCAGAGCTGCCCTTGTCCCCACAGGCTCTGGGGCCTTCCTTATGACCCCAGGCTGGCAGTGCTCTGGGCTACCCTCCCCAAGCTGACCATAGACCAAGTGCCTCTCTCTGCTTCCAGGCAGTACCGCGTACGAGTGGAGGACATCATGGTGCGAGATGTTCCCCATGTGGCCCTCAGCTGCACCTTCCGTGACCTGCAGTTGGCACTGCACAGAACCAAGGGCCGTGTGTTGGCCCTGGTAGAGTCCCCTGGTGAGACCAGGAGGGGGCCCAGATGCTAAGGGCATCTCCTAGGGCCACTGGTCAGGGAGGGAGGAACAGGAGCTCAGGACCAGCTTGTTGGTTCCAAAAGGAATGGTCCAACATTTGCCAGCCAGGGGTTTCCCTCTGGTGTGTAGCCTGTGTCCAAGGCCTCCCTCAGGGTGTGAGAGAAAGCCGGGAGGATATGAGGGCCTTACCCCTGGCCCCTGAGTCCTCCCACCTGCTCTCTCCAGAGTCCATGATCCTCCTGGGCTCCATCGAGCGCTCACAGGTGGTGGCATTGCTAGCAGCTCAGCTAAGCCCAGCCCACCGGTGGCAGTACATGCAGGAGCGTCGAGCTGCCCAGACCTCTCCACATTCAGATCAGGAGAGTTCCACCAGTCCTGAGACCTCTGTCTGCTTCCAGGTGAGGGGAAAAGCCCCACGGCCACATAGACTTCCTAAATGTCACATAGACTGACTGGGAAGGCAAAACAGAAGTAGTCTGGAGCCATAGTATCACCAGCCCCTTCCTGCCCATGCAGGTGAACACAGAGGACTCGGGCTTCCCTGCAGCCCGGGCAGAGACTCAGAAGCCCCTGAAACCTGCTCTCAAGAGGGGACCCAGCAACACTATGAATCTTGGGGAGAGTCCCACAGGTGAGCCCACTAGCACCTCCCCTCCATCCTCAGGCAGAGCTGGAGCCTGGCCCCTGAGGCCACTAGGGTCCCTACCCAACCTTTTTGCTGAAGCACTTCCCAGCTAAAAGGCTACCCAGATGGGCCATGGGTATTACCAGGACACCTCTACCCTAAGCCTCCTCACGTCTCCTAGTCCCTTTCCTCAAAAATGACATTGTTTGGGAACACAGGGAATGTGGAGCAGGCAGGCATCGCCCTCAGGAGCCTCTTTTGTGGCAGTCCACCCTCCGAGGCTGCTTCAGAGGTGAGTGATTGGAGCCTCTCTGACTCTTTCCTTCCAGTTCTCTCTCTGACGCTGAGACCACCTCTCCATTAACCCTGCAGTGCCTGCCTCTATTCTCCCCACCCTTTGGGCCTCTCAGATGTCAGCTCTGTCCCTGTGGTGTGCCCTTCCTCAGGGGTTCTACCACTTCCCCTCACTTACCTCCTCCCTGTAACATCAACTCCTCTTCTCTCTGGTTTGGCCCTAACAAAGTTGGAGAAGTTGGAATCGTGTGACAAGCACAAGCTGAAGCGGGTCCGAATCTCCCTGGCAGTAAGTGCTCCCTTTCTTCCTGCAGCTCATGAGCACTAGGGAGGGCCAGGGTCTAGGCGATTGGACCTCCCCCGGGCTGGGGGTGGGGAACACTCACCTGCACCCTGCCCCTGGCTGCCAACCTCCCTCCCTCTCTCCTAGAGCAACTCAGACCTAGAAGGCGAGATGACCCCTGAAGAGGTAAGGTGTGACTGGACTCTGGACCCTGTTTTTCCCTGGGTGTGTTCACTCATCATTTGGGCTGCTGTCCCCATAGGAGGGACCGTGGGGTAAGAAAAAGGGCAGGCCAGCTTTCAGGGAGGTGAGAGCAGCTATTGGCACCTTTTCCCTAAGCTTCTTAGTCTTGTCCCCTCAGATTCTGGAGTGGGAGGAGAAGCAACTAGATGAACCTGTCAACTTCAGTGACTGCAAAATTGACCCTGCCCCTTTCCAGCTTGTGGAGCGGACCTCTCTGCACAAGGTAGGGCTGGTGGCCCTGTAGCTGGGCTCTGGGGAGCCAAGGTGGGAATCAGGTCTTCCTACAAGTTTGGACTCAGGCTAGTGGGGAAAAACGGGACAGCAGGATGCAGGCTCTGTGCTGAGATGTTTTTCAAACATAATGCCTAAAGTGATGGGAGGTGGGGAGCCAGGGCCTCTTAGCCTCTTCCTGCCTACCCTGGGGTCAGGCATCATTTTTCCTCTGCTCAGCTTTGCCCCAGGGAACTCTGGACCAAAGTAGCAACAGAGACAGAGTTTGAGCTGGGTAGAAGCCAGAAGGCCAGGCAAGGGTCAGAGCTAGCGGGAGGCTGCCAGGGCCCAACAAGGCAGAAACACCCACGCTGAAAAAAATGGGTGAGAAACAGGCAGGATAAGAAAATCTAATAAACAAGCTAACAAACATCCAAGTAGGGGTGGGGACACTACAGAGAAGAGATAAACACAGATGAGAAACACCCAGTGGGGGGCTTGGAATGTCAGACCCCAGAAAGTCTGACTTAATGTAGGCCAAAGGAAAACTGGTAGGGACACAGGAAGACAGCTCAGCAGAAGGGCAAAACAGCCTGCAGAAACGGAAATAAAACGAGTTGGACTGAGGGGAGAGGCTGACACTAAGGAAAGGCAGAGCCTCTATGAAAGTCTGCCTCCTGAGGAGCTTCCCAGGATGGGGCAGCTTCATTGGACACCTTCAGGCTTCTAAGGGAAGACAGGGAGGGCAGGCATACCCAGCAGGCTGCTAGGGCAGAAACCAAGTGTTTTTTAACTAAATTGTTGACAATTTTAAGGCACAAGCCTCTGAGGCATGGCAGGGGGAACACAGGGGAACTAATCCCAAGGTCTGCAGCTTGGGCAACTAGTTTAGGTACAAGCTGTGCCTAAGAGCAGGGCTAGCTCAGAAAAGCAAGGCTGGGGCAGGAAAGACAGGGGACAAAGAAACAAAAAAGCAAAAGCTCATAAAGGAACTTACAAGCCTCAGGGTAAAGACCTCAAAGTCAGTGGGGAACTAGTTGCAAGAAAAAAAAGAGACAGACCTGAGAGTACATGGACTTTCATTTAAAACCTTTCTTAGTAAGACCTCTAAAGCTTTTCCATAATGTTTAGTCCTCAAATTTCCCATGATGATGATGATGATAATGCTGACATTTTTTTTGTGACTTCTATGTGCCAGGCACTTGCCAAACTCTTCATATGTTTAATTTAATCCTCAACCAGACTATAAGATCAATAACATTATATTCCAGTTTTTATAGATGAGGTTTGAGAATCATTGAGATGCAGAGAGGTTAAGCAAGTTGCTCAATCACACAGCTAGTACCCAGGCCAGGAATCCAAGATGGTCTGACACAAAGCCTATGGATTTAACCATTTTAATACACAGGAAACTGAGGCAGTGAAGAGGTCACTTGCCTGAGTCAGTGTAGCAGAATCAGGCCCAGGGCCCAGATTTCTTGGCCCCAATCCCAGGATTCTTTCAGAAGGTCATATTGTCCCTCTCCCTATCAATTTCCTATTCCCAAATCCAAGATGTTCAAGCCTTCCAATGGGCTCCCTGATGTCTAATTAAATTGAAATGGAAAAGAACAAAGTAGGTGTTTGTTACAAACTTAAAAATTAGAGGAGGAGAAGCCTTTGAGGAATGAATTAACAAAAGTACAAAGACCTGAAGTGATGAAAACATGTAAGAAAAGAAGTTAAAATGTCCTTGCAGGCCTGAGGAATCACAAAGTAGTAGTCCAGTTAAGTTCAGGAGGGGAACATTCATAGAGAGAAAATACACTGGAGATTGTGTAGGAACCTGTGCAACTGAAGATCACTATACCAGCTGGGTACCTCACTCATTTAGAGGCCACCTCCACAGAAGCAATGAGTGGAGGGGTAAGGCTGGCATGCTGACAGTAGGCCAGACTGGCTGAGCCCAAATCCTCAGTCAGCCAGGTGTTGGCTAGCTGTGCAACCTTGGCAAATATCTTAGCCTCTGTGCTCACTTTCCTTATCATAGATAGGGTTTTCTTTGGATTAAAGGAGTTGATGCATGATACTTAGTGCCTTGCACATCGTTCAGTAGTATGAATTACTACTACTTATACTGAGAGGTGAACAATAGGGGACTTTAGAGATGGTGTAAGGAGAGAAGAGCTGAAGCGTGGAAGAAATGGATGTTTCAGAAAAGGATGAGTGATTATGTGTGGCTGGAAGCTGGGGTACCTGAAAGAATCTGAAGCTGCAAAGACTGGCTAGGGTGGGCTTGGGAAGTGTTTTCTGGGCCATTCTGGGAAGTCTGGGCTCTACCTCAAGTCTCAGAAAGCTCTTATGATGGCAGAACAAAGTTGGAGGGAAGGGAAGCAGAAAGCAGAATGTTGCAGCCCTGTCCTGTGAGGATGGTGAGGAAGTCAGGGAGAATGGTAAGTACATTCAAAGAGTAGATTGGTAAGGCTTAGTGTCTGCCCTGGACAAGTGGTTTGCAAACCTAAAAGGCATATAGCCTGCCAGAAGCTCACCCTAATTAGGATTGTGGAGAAAGGAAAATCCAGGGGAACTGTTTAATAGGATCCTTGGGAGAAGACGAGAGAGATTGTTAAACCATGAGAAGACAAGGCTAAGGGATTATTAAGACAGGAAGTCTTATAAAGATGTTTCCCTCTGAAGTCAGATGAGGAAATTAAAGGTAACTTGTAGTATGTAAGATCCGAGGAACTTGCTAAACTCATGACTATTATGGCAAAATATTAAAGGAGTACAGTAAAGCTTATTCTATAATTGAACATCTAGCTCTTCTTGAAGTACCATCATGCGTTAGATGGAGAAAGTCAGAAAAGTTCTGAAGTCCTTCTCTAAAGAATTTAGCAAGTGTATTAGAAAATATTTTTAAAGTGTTAAGACAATTACAATGAGTCATAAGTAACTGGTACTCTAGAAGCTAGGTTATTAGTGCCCATTTTAATTCAAGCATTAAGCCAAAAGGTTTACAAGTAAACTCCACACACCACAATAAATGATAGGCCAAAAATTCCAGGAACTACTGAATCAGTGGAGAGTGTTTCAAGACATCTGGCCCAAGAAAATCTTAGAGCCTCACAGAGGGAACTGGCTGACAGTTTCTGAGCTCTTAATGATTACATTTAAAAGTTGGGGGATGGGCCTAAAGCAAGAAAAATATGGGAGTGTGTGGGTATCTGTTGTCCCCCTGGACTGCAAGGTACATCTCAACAGAACCTAGGATCCTACTTGGACCCCAGAAAAGGCAAACTGACCTGTAGAGTGCTTCAGGCCAAGATCAGATTGGGGTGTTGGGGTGAGGGTGGAGGGATACGGGCCAACCAGCTAAGGGCAAATGAAAGCATGTATCAGCCACTTAGGTAAGATGAGAGGCACAAGATTCAGGGCCAATACCCCTGAGGTGGGTGTGGAAGCTCCCTCCTGGATACCCATGACTGATTGGATACCTGTATAAGACAATGGGGGCTATGCTTAGTCCTCCTGTAGTGTGATGTTAAATGGTCTAGGGCTGCAAGGTCACTTCTTACTGATGACCCTGAGCAAGTTGCTTCACTGAGCTTCATGCCACCTCTCCTGTAGAATGGGTATACTTACTTCTCAAGCAGTACTGAAATTAAATGCTAATATAAAAAAGACATAGCCCTGTGCCTGGCCAATCACTGGATGTCACCATTTGAACACCTATTCTCCCTTCCATCCTCCTTTCTAACATGGGATGAAGGCTCCCTCCCCAGTTCATTTTGCCATCAGCATAACAACATAAAGGTTTCCACTATCAAACTACTGAGGCCTGGCTGCAGCAACATTTTTATTTTTCCCTCCAAGGGTCCTGCCCCTTTCTTCCACCACCTGTGGCACTCCTTTTATTTCCCCCTAGTCCCACCTTGTCCTGGGGTCCTCCAGCCCATAAAGAAGAGCTGTCCCCTCCAGTATTAGGTCTGATGTGTTTTCTCCCCACCCCACAGACTCACACCATCTTCTCACTGCTGGGAGTGGACCATGCTTATGTCACCAGTATTGGCAGACTCATTGGAATTGTCACCCTAAAGGAGGTGAGATGATAATGGTCGTCAAAGTTGCTTCCACTCCCAGAAAAGGCATGCAGGCTTATGTCCACCTCCCCTCAGGGAACTGCTGAGGAGGAGTCTGAGCACAGAGCTCTGAATCCGAAACTCTCTGTCTAGCTCCGGAAGGCTATCGAGGGCTCTGTCACAGCACAAGGTGTGAAAGTCCGGCCACCCCTTGCCAGCTTCCGTGACAGTGCCACCAGCAGCAGTGACACAGAGACGACCGAGGTGCATGTACTCTGGGGGCCCCGCTCCCACCACAGCCTCCCCCGGGAAGGCAGCCCTTCTGACAGTGACGACAAGTGCCAGTGAAGCCCTCACTGGGCAGCCTGGATGGCAGTGGCTATAGCTGTGAGCCCAGATCGTGCAGCTCTCCTGTTCCTCTGCCTTCCTGGAAGGGGAGGCAGCTGCAGCCTATGGAGGTTGAAGCCCCAACCCCCCTTGCAGGCCTGGAGTACCAAGCTTCCCCTGGTTCATCCTACCTGGAATCTGACCCAGCACCAACCTGCAGCCAGTACTCCATGGGCAGGAAGATCAGCACCGCCCTGGCATCATGGGGTGGGATCACCTGACTTTGTTCCCCTTTGTGGGGAAAAAGTATAGAACTAAAATGGGTTTATACTGGAACCTCCAATGACCAGATGTATATAGATTTACAAAGATTTTTATATTAATTTAATAAAACAAATTCTTACATAGAACAAAATAAATACCTAGTGAGCCACTTATATATAGAATGCCTGTGCCCATCGGCTCTTGTCCTTACCTGGGTCCTTGTACCAGCCAAAGCCTACAAGGCTCTGAATTCTGCAGGCACCCATACCCCCCACCCCCAAATTGTAAAACTCGAGAGCCTGCTATTGGTGGAGTACAGGATCTACAGAGACCCCCACTGCCTGGTCATCAACACCCTGGCTGGAGCAGAGGCCCCCAGTACTGTAGCTTCGGCCTTTTGTTCAGCCAAGAAAGGCACTACCCTCATTCCTCCCCAAGGAGGGACACTCCTCCCTCATGACTTTCACTAATTGGCACAATTCCTGCCCCACTCAGGCAATCAGCAGACAAATGCCCGGCCACCGTGAGGCCCCCTTGTGACCCTCTCTTGAAGAACATCAGAGTCAGCTCTGTAGCAACCAGAGCCATCCCTTCTCTCAACTCCACCCTAAAGAGAACTCAGTGAATGGGGTAGCCCAGCGCGTTGCCAGGACCCTGACAGCACATCCTACTTACTGAAGGCTGGGAAAGGGCTGAGGTGGGGGCAGGCAAAGGGTGACGGGCACATGCTTTCAGTATTCCAATGCTTCCCAGAGAAGATCCAACTGAAAGAACAGACCAAAACCCCTCTTTCTTTAGGAAAAAGAAGATTTAGAGATGATGGAGAGGTGAAGCACAGCACGATCCCAGCTAGGCGAGGGGCCCTTGGGGGATGGCTCAATCCATAGGCTCCAGGAGGGTAAGAGCCAGCCCCTGACCCCTGCCCCAGGTAGGGGTGATTCTATCAAGCACTGCACGTGGACTCAGAGGTGGAAAGAAGCAGAAGAGAGGAATGGGAACATGGGAGGAGGCCAGGCGCCCTCCCACTCTACCCCACACAGACCAGTCACAACCACCCTCCCTTGGGGTTCACATCATCTGAGGAGGAAATGTGTATGTGGCGTTTTTAAGAACATGAACATCACTGTCTGCCACAGCTGTAGCCATGCCCGAGGGGCCCCGGGCAACCCCCGGCAAACCCCAAGAGTGGGGGCAGGACATGCACCCCCAGCCTGGCCCCTGCCTCCTCTCCAAACACTTTCATGCAAAACACACAACAGAGGAGTGAGTGAGCGCTCCCAAGAGCCCTCTAAGCTTTGGAGCTCCGCTGGAAGCCTTCCACCCGCACTTGGGCGTGGAGGCTGTGCCCCCAGCAGCAGCCAGGGGGCGCATGCCATCACCAGGCATGATTTGGGTCACTGTTCCTCCGGCTCTGCCTCATCCTCATCTAACGACGCCACCCCAGAAGCAGCTACATCAGAGGCTTTCCGCTGCGGTTCCCAGCTGCCCACTGGTGGTGAGCAAAGCGGCTGGCAGTCCTTGCAGGGGGCTCGCTCCTCCTCGGCGGTAGGAAGGCAGGACTCCATGAGAGGCGAGTTGTAGAGTGAGTCCTGGGCCTCCAATGGGCCCAGGCTACGGAAGGCACTTTCCCGGCTGGAGGGCAGTTTGGCAAGGAGCAGCTCATCGCCCAGCAGCTGGGAGGTCAGGCTGGCTGGAGAGCCCAGCAAGCCATCCTCCAGGCTGCACAGACTAGAGCACAGGGTCTCTGGGGACACGGTCTGTGAGCAGTCGCTCTCAGGCTCCACGGAGCCCTGGCGGATAGGCCGGGAGAATCTGTGGCCAGTGAAGAGGTCCTGAAGGTGGGGCCCCAGGGGCAGCTGCCCAGCCAAGTCTGTTGGGGGAGAGAAAAAAAAAGACAGCCCTGCTAGCCCCATCTCATTTGGTCAACCGAGAAGGCACATTCTCCCCACTCCATGCTCAGCACAGCTGTGGGGATAATGGGGAGGAACTGGGTAACTTTGGGCAAGTCAGTTAACTTCTCAGTGCCTCAGTTTCCTTAATGGTGACCTGGGGGTTCTAATACACAAACCTTATGGGTCGTTGGAAGAACAGAGGGTAGCACACAGTAAGAAAGCAATAAAGCAGAGATGCCACACATTGTCCTGCGGCTTTCCAAGGCTGTGAGGACTGAAAGCTCACACTGCTCACCAAGCAGCACACCCTGGCACGGGGCTGTGCCTGCCAGAGAAATGGGTGCCTTTTTCTAATTTTCACAAAGACCCTGCACAGATTAAGTAGTAGCCTTGGATAAATGTTAGTTATTATCATTATACCAGGGGTCAAAGAGGCTTAGAACTCAAACAAAAATGCTTGTGGTTCAGGGCTCTGTCTTGGCCTTGAGCATCCAAATCAGCCCCATCTGGACCACAGGCAGCAGTCTCCAGTCTATTCTAATGTATTACCCACCTTGGAGAATTTGTTAATTAGCTGGAGGGGTAGAGGTGGGTGGAGGCAATCTTCAAAGACAAAGAGATGACTGGTGGTGGGCTTGTGAGGCTTTAGCCCAGAAGCTACACAGACATTAGCCATGTGGTTCAGGGAATGCAAGATGAAAGGAGTACCATACACAGCTGCACAACCCTGCAGGGTCCCTTCTGCAAGAACTGGCCCAGAGAAAAGCCCACAGACAGGTCTAATGGAATTTGAGGATTCTGAGCTAGAGCCAGCTCGGCCCTGTGGGCATTCCAGGACCAGCATGCTTTTCTGTTTGCCTGGGGCCACAGCCCTGTGAGGTGCTCACTGCTGCACTGTGGGCTCCCACAGCCAGTCAAAGGGGAGGGAAAGGCACAGCAGACCCTCCCAGAGACATGGCTGCACAGAAGCTCTCAGTGAGGTCTCAGGGTTTTTTTTCTTTTTCAGGACTAGAAGGCTGATTGTACTGACAGGCAGAGAAAGCTTGGCATCTACTCCATGTCCAATTGCTGACTGCCCACCAGGAACACGGATAGCCCTCCTCCCCGTGGCATGTCAAGGACTGCCTGGACAGAGTCTACCCTTCTTCTCTCTCTTTCTGAAGGCCAAACTCTGCATTACAAGGCCTACTGAGCAGTTACGCCCCAGCTGGCAGCCCTGGCATGAGATGTCCCCTCACCTGAATCAGCTCCCCCAGCAAAGTCCTCATCATAGGATTCATCAGTGGAGTCCTCACCATCCACCGAAGACCATGCCCGGAGCTTGGCCTCTGCAATGGCAAACTGCTCAGCCACTCCTGTTGGGAGGACACGGTATTCATTAGCAGAGAAAGCGAGCTAAGACTCGGGCTCAGCTTGGAGACAGGACAAGACTCCAACCCCCACACTGGGCACAAGATGAGAGAACATCCCTATGACAAATGTGTGATCCCCTTTCAGTCGCTCACCTGCTGCAAAACGAGCTTCTTGTTCACCCTCACTGAGGTCTGAATAGGAAGAAAAGGCTGATTCCAGAGCAGCAGGTGAGTCACTCGGCTTGCTCCAGCCCTTCCACTCAATGAGGTGAGCCACTCGGCCCTGAGCCATCGCAGTGGGTTTGGTCACGTGGTCCTTCACCACCTGGGAAATACCTGGAGGTGGGACAGAATGGGGAGGGCTGGTGGAGTCCTCACCATCTACCATTACATGGCAGGGAGCATCTGAGAGATGGTAGTTAGGTAGTTCCCACATGTGCCTTTCAGTGGGAAGAAGGGGCTAGGATTCATCTGAGAAAGGGAGGAAAGGGAGATCCCAGCAAGATCTCACAGGATGTAATTCCCAAGAGAATTTGCAAAGGGAGAAGAAAGGACAGAGTGGCCAGGGGTAATCAGAAGGGGGCGGATACCATACCATGCAGGGAGGATCTGGCCAAAGCAGCGATCTCCTGGATAGTTAGAGCTCTCCGGGACTTGGGCAGCATCGCGACTGTGTCTCCAACATTCACCTTAGGTAATGGCACCAGAGGGTCAGTGCTCCTCTGACAGCAGCATCCCCACACATGCCCACCTCCACCCAAGACATCAAGAAGAAATGGGAGCTGGGAAGAGATGCCAGAGCAGCACACAGGTAGCTGCTAGGATATATAAGAAGCCAGGATCTGCAAACTATGTCCTCCCAAGGAGTAATGGAGACTCAGAAAGCCCATAAGGGCAGAACTGCAGCTAACCCTTCAACCTTCCCAGGTCTCAGAGTGGAAGGAGGCAGGTTGGAAATAACCATGGAGTGGGGCCTTTGAAAAGAAAAAGGAAGTAGGGGGGTATGGCATCAGGGACTTCCTTCAGGTCCTCTCTTTGTCCCTCTTCTCCCACATTCCAGCTGTTTCTAGAGCCTACTAGGGCCACAAACAGCATGACCAAAGCCAAACCCAACACCTCCCCACATCTGGCCCTGCCTCCTAACTTCCTTACTTTGCATTACCCAACCAACCATTCTCCCATGCAGCGTGGCTCCAAACCTCAGCAGCACCATCTACTCTCCCCTAAACTTCACTCAACCTTTCTACTCCCATTGCTTCTGCCCTCCCTTCCTCAAGCCCTCAATGCGCCTAGCCCAGATTAGCACAAGTGGTGGTCCCCCAAGCTCCTCCAATCCTATACTACTTTCTTAGCCAAAAATGTTGTGTATGTAAGTGTTCCTCTCCCTACTTCCCTTGGCTGGCTGGCTTTTTCTCATCTTTCAGTTTTTGGCTGAAATCACTTCTCCAGAGGCACCTTCCTGGCCACCCTACCAGTTGTCCCTCCTCCCTCTGTAAAAGTCACCATCCTCTATCAACAGACCCCATGTGTGTAAATATGGCCTATTTCATGTGTTTCCTTGGTCCTTTCCTGTTGGTCTCCCTCACTGGTCTTTAGCTCTCTAAGGAATTCGGTCTCTTTTGGTCACTGCTGTGACCTCAACACTCAGTGTTTAGCACAGCGCCTGGCACACAGTACTCTCTCAAAATACATAGGCTGAATGAATAAGGCAAGGTAAATAATTTTCCTGGAGTACAACTGGTCACATGTCCCTAGAGGAAACCTTTTCTAGGCTCCTCCACTGTCCAAAGAAGTCAAAGCTTCACAGACAGGCACTGAAAAAACCCACTCTGTGAAGGAGGCCCCTGCCTCCTTCCAGGACTGCTTACAATCCACCACTGATCTCTGCCCAGTAAAATCCCACTTCA